AAAGCTTTTGCGGCGCACGAGTCATCTCTCGGCCCGACCGTTCCGATGGTCCGAGTTCCTGTTCAAAAGCATAATCGCTCAAAATGATGAGATACTCGATGTCCGTCAGAGATATTTCAGAGTTGTCTCACGGGCGCTTGTCGCCTCCACTTTCGAGTAGCGTCACGCCGACGCGCCAAGGCTCCTACTAGCTAAATCTCTAGTAAATGCAAGCCGGCTGTATACATATATTGAACATATGTGAGTAATATAACATGATAAGGATGCCCGAAGTGAAGATGATCTGTTTGTTATAGCGGTCATCGAAGCAGGTCTGTAATCCATCCACTGGTAGTAGTGTCCAGGCATGAATAGTGACGGTTTAACAATGTACAAGAAACATGATGGTTGTTAATGCAAACTGGAAAATAAGTTAGTCTTTCCTCGTTCAGCGATACTGACAGTTGGACTCACCGAAGTGTGTGAGCAGCGCGCGGGCCCGTTTCAACTTCAATTTCCGAGTAGATGCAGCAGATCAGGCTCCGCAACACAACCCGCCCTCGAGTTATGCACATGCCTCACCAGTGCGTCCCTGCGGCTAAAGCTCTTCATACAGCCGCCTACCATCTTCGTGTCCCTGAACATATACCAGTCGTCCGGATTGCACACATCATAGAGGAACGCGTCCTTCAGCGGCACCCCGCAGCACACCCACTTCGCGTAGCTCTCACTTGCCCGGTGCGTGTTCAGGTGCCGCCGCATATCCGGCACGCGCGTCTCCCTCTGGCTGTACCCGCACCCAAGTGGACACTCAAGCGAGCGGCTCGCGGCGAACTTGGTGAGCATCTCGTCGAACTCTTGTTGGGTGATGTGGACCTGTGAGTTACGTGCGCTCGAGCTACGCCTCGACCTGACGGGAAGCGACAGAGAGTATGGCGCTGGCGCAGATGGTGTTTTACGGGATGTATGGGTCGAGGAGCCATAATATGGGCCGCATCGGTATTCATGGGGACTGGTGGAGGACGCAGTAGAATCTCTCTCGATGGCGGAGTAGTCGGCGTCTTCAGTGTCTATCTCAGACTCGCCATCGTCGCTGTCATACAAAGAGACGGTCTGCCTCAGAAGCAGTAAGTTTTGTGACCTGCGCTCATCATCCTGTTCCTGACGTCCAGAGCTTCCGGGAATATGTGATTCGTCTTGCGGACAAGTACGAGGCTGCTTCACCCTAGTCAATACAATACACGGTGTGAACGGCTGAAACAGTCTCAGAGGAACAAAGGACGTACCGCCAGTAGCCGTTGTTCAACCAAGCACCAGGATTCGCCGCCTCAACCTCGGATACAGCGCTCGAATCGGCCTCCTCCATGTTGGTCCCCGACTCCTTGTCTGAGTCAGGGTAGAGCAGCGTGTCATCGTCAGACGAATAGTCTGCCAGCGGCTTGAGGGAATGCGACGGCGAAGGCAGGAATGGTGGTTCGCAGAGCCCGCTCTCCTTCTCATCCTTCATGGGCGATTGGGACATCCTGGGATAGCAGATACTAATGGAAGGAAGCGCGAACGCTGCACTCAATTTATGGGGGTTCGAGGAAGCAGTGGCGTACGGGGGCGGCCTGGTCCAGTATGGTAGGGAAAGCGGCGGCAGGGTCGCCATATTTATATAGCGCGCCGCGCTGGGTGGCTCTGGTGACAGAACAAGGCTCATGGTGGCACTGGAGACGAGGGACAGACGGAGGGCTGCGTCTGTCCTTTGTCCGAGTGGCCTTTCAGCCACCCGGCGAGATCTACGCGAGATCAATCTCGATCGGCGGCGGGTGATGGAATTGGCGCGGGAACGCGGAGTGGCCAAGAGGGCATTGTTCGACCACCTTGGTCTCCCCCTGCGTCCATTGGGGTGCCCGGTGTTCCTCCCAATATTGAGCTCGTCCTTATTTTATTCAGCACCATGCCGGCAAAGAAAAATGGCTTCAACTGTCTGCGACCTTCAGCCTGGCTGGCGGTGGCTGCGAACGAGGTAAGTCTTTGTTTCACTCGTGATGGATTATCTAAGCCTGTGCCGGATATCTTGATGAGCCCTCGCCACCGAAACAATAAATGGAACACACTGCGGTGTCGGCATCGGAAGACATGTTAACACCCGGGGCCACTCCCGTCTGGACGGCACGTGCTACTAACGTTGCCAGTAGTAGCCACAGGTGAGTAGCTATCACATTCTATTCTCATTATCCAGCCAACTGTTTGTCTCGCCAGCGTTTACTTACATGGACGTGGTTAATAAAACGTAATCGAACTCCTTTCCCGGATGCAAGAGTCGGGCAAGATACAGGTCAGCGAACATGTCAATGCTGTTACTCGAGACGAAATGTCGTGAGGCTACGACGGACACTGCTGATGCCTTCGGATACAATTCATCCATACTAACTCACGGGTTTAGCTCGCTGTCCGGAAGCTGCATCATTCCTCCGAAAGTCATCCTGAATGCCGCACCGTCCTGGTATTCGAGCAACGACGAGGATGCTGGTGAATCCTGCGCGACTGCAGGATAAACACTATGCGGAATCTCCTGCTCCAGGGGAGGAATACGGAGTGCCGCAGGTGAGGCAAGACGGAAGGGCACGTGGCGGGCCACTGTTCGCACCACATCGCGTATACCCCACCTGCTTTTGATGCGTCTGACCTGAGCTTCGAACATGAATTCCGCAATAAGATCAAGTTCGTCGTATGCATCCTTCGCCTCTTCTTCACGCATGATATGCCGTAGAGGCTCTCTATCAACGAGATAAACTCGCTGATTGGGTGATCCTGCATTTTGCAGGTTGTTCTTGACGCTCTCGCGCGTGTCCCACTCATGCTTCTTGATAGCCTCTTCCTTTGAACAGTCTTCTTCTTCCATGATGTTCCGAACGTGCTGATTCGTTTTCGACCGCACGATATATGATGGTATGTTGAATCGCGCACAGTTTCGAATGAGGTCTATATCGATCTCCGTCATACGGTCGCCGATCAGGATGATGATGCAGTCGAAGATGTATAGGCCCTGGTCACTGAAGTACTGCTCCGCTGGCACGTTCAGCGTTCCTGCTCCCGGGATGTCATACCAAACGAAGGGGAGGCTGGCATCGGAATCGTCGTAGCGGGTGATGGTGTCTGTGGTCTCCGTCGTGCCGACCGGGGCAGCGCCCGCATCGTTCTTGCGTAGGCCGCGGAGAGAGTTGATAAGTGACGACTTGCCACTTCCCGCACCGCCGGCGACTGCAAAGTGGCAAAATCCTTCCTTGTAGCCCAAACGACGCAAGGTCTCTTCGAATTTATCTCGAGTGGGAAGAACGATGGGGTTGAACTTTTGTCGTAGCCTCCATTCCGCTCGCGACATTATTCTGTTAAAGAAACTAAAGCCCTTTGCATGATCCGCCTTGGTCATTGAGGCTTGGGCGTCTTGTGTTGTCCAGTCGTCCTGGTCCGTCCAGAACTCGTCTGACGTTGCCAAGTCTAGTAATGATCCGGCAGGGAACGCAGGCTCCAGTTCTATCTCGAGCCTTGCAAAGCCAATCAGCTTAGATCCTAAAGATATTCGGGAAGTTCGCTCACGGTTGCATATTGTCTCTCCCAGAGGTATGACCATGAATATCTGTCTCATGTTCTTCCTTGCACTCCTGCTTCTGATTCTCAAGGCTGTCTGCCTGCCCATCTTCCGGCATCTCGTTGTCCTCCTTTCTCGTGCCCTCTGCCATCTCATTCTGATCGTCCGCATCGCGCATCTCGTCGCACTTCTCCGGCTCCTCGTGATGATCAGGCTCCTCCTTATTCTCGGGCATTTCGTTTGCCTCGTTGTGCTCGCCCTCCGCCATCTCATTATGTTCGTCTGCAACAAGCTGCTCGCCGGACTGTCGTCCCTGCTCTTGAGGATCCTGTTCTCCTGGTCTGTCATCTTCGTCTTTCATATGTTTCTTCATCTTCTCAAGTGTAGGGTTCTCCTTGACATCGTGTTTCTGTGCGCTGTTGCGAAATATTTCTCGAAGCCAGCCGGCCACACGGGATACAGTGTTGCCCATGATGATGATGACCACTTCTGAAAGGGTGAGTCTATGAAATCTATCGTTTCGCATTCGTTAGCACCTCAATCGCAGGTTTCAGGAACGAACCTTCGCTTGTTGACGGCGGGAGTGTAGTCGAAGCTTGAAGATACGATTGAAGGGCAGGTTGAGGGCACGCTAGGACTCCAAGACCCTCTACCCCTGGCCACGTTGAATAGTGCAGGGCCCTGGCTGCCCCGAGTTCTTCATCTAGTATGCTTCGGGAAGCAGGGGTCTACTTCCAGCCGTGCTGTTGCCTCATGTCCGTATACCTCGACATTGTTTCTCGCGAGCGCTATTTGGTTGGTTCTGGAACAAGAAGTGATACACAGATATCATGCCATGCAAGACAGATGAGCATAATATTCTGCAGTACGAACATGTAAGGAGAGTTAGCTTTATATTTTCCAGGCTCAAAAGCAATTTGGACGGCAGGGGATGACAAGCAAAATTGTGAGTATCTGAAACCGCGTAGCCATCCTACATCATACTTGTAGTACAGCTTTGGATTCTGAGATCATCTCACCACAAATCGATCATCAAGACATGCGCGGAAAGGTGAGTACGGGTACAACTACATCCCGAAAGCAAGAGGGCAATTGAGCGGGACTCGAGAACTTGATCAGCTTGAAGACTATCTCTATGTTCGTGAGTCGCTGCTATTCGAGGTGCATCATAAACGTACACAAATACAGCGCGAATCATTCATCCCAATCGAATCCCGCGCCAAGCTCGTCTTCCGGCAATATGGCAGGATGTCCTTCAGTGGCCATCATAGGGCTTTGACTATGGGGCGAAGGCGGACTTCCTTGTGGATCTGGCCCAAAAACAATGGCCTTGAGCTTATCGAGTGACACCGGGACACGAAAGTGGGCAGATGAGGGATGCCAACGTTCGTATCATTTCTTGTGCATCCTGCTTGCTCCGGGATCGTCTTACCCGAGCCTCGGCCAGCAGTTTAACGAGGAGATCGTACTCGTCAAATGCTTCTTTTGGCTCATCATCCTGAACGATGCTGCGCAGGCTCTCGCTGTCAACCAAGTAGACCCGCTGCTTGTCTAATCGCGCACGCTGCAGGTTGTCTACGACATCCTTGCGCGTCTGCCGTTCAAGCGTCTTGCGGGCTTCCTCCCTTGAGCACCTACTCCTTCTTTCCTTCATGATGTTTTGGATATGCTGCGTCGCTTTAGACCGCACGATGTACGACGGGATCACGAACTGCGAACAGTTGCAGATAAGGTCTATGTCAATCGTGGTGACGCGATCGCCAATGACGATGACAATGCAGTCGAAGATATATAGACCTTGATCAATGAAATATCGTTCCGCTGGCACGTTCGATGTCCCGGCGCCTGGGATGTCATATCATACAAAGGGAAGACTTGGATCGGGGTCATCATAGCGGGTGATGGCCTTGGTGGTCTCGTTCGTGCCGACTGGAGCAGCGCCAGGATTCCCCGCGTAAAGGCCGCGGAAAGAATTGATAAGTGACGACTTGCCGCTCCCTGCAGCGCCTGCGACTGCAAAATGGCAAAAACCTTCCTTGTAATTCAGGCGCTGCAAAGTCTCTTCGAAGGCCTCCTGAGTAGGAAGGATGACCGGATCGAGCTGTTGTTGCAGGCTCTTTTCCGCTCGTGGCAATATAGTATCGAAGAAGTGCCGGACCTTTGAAATATTCTCGATGGCCACAGTAGCTTCAGAATCTGTGGAGCACAGGCTTGCCGAGTCGGTCTCTGAGTCCTGTGTCATTGTATCTTTGGCCTTCGCGAACGCTGGATCCAATCCTGTTGGCTGCTCGACGTGCTCTTGAGAGAGGGTTTGCTCTTGTGTGGCGTCATTAATTCTGGCTCACTGATCAGCAAGTCAACATCAGGCTGGCTTAGAAACTCACAGTGCCGTTTGGTTTTGTCCCGATTGTCCCGAGAGCCACTCAATGTGAGCGCTTGCCTTGCGCTTGGGATTGGGCTGCTGTTCCCTTTTGTGGTCTTCCTGCTTGTACTGATATCCCCCTGGATTTTCCATGCGTACTATCATATTATCCATCGTCGCATTGTTTCCCATGTTGCCCTCCTTTCCATCGCGCCGGAAATCGTCGCGGAGCCAGCGGGCGATAGAGGATAACACATTGCCCATTGCGATTTGCAATCGATCGCTCCAAGACGTTGAAGATATGTGCCGCGATGTCTGTCCAACGATCTTGGTCAATGCATCACTCGCAGACCGAAAAAGTGAATACTGAGCACCGGACGTTCACTTGTCCAAGGCGGTGAGCTGGTATTGCTTGACGAGATAGGACTGTCGTTCAACAGAGGTGGATGCTCCGAGAACCCTGGCAGTTGGTCACGTTGACCTGCGGCTTGCGACTCACCGTCCCGTGCTATCAAACCTTATACACTAGATTTGTACATGGGTGTCGTTCGCGCTGTTCCCCAGCCTTAGACGTAACCCAATGCAACCCAAATACCTCGCACACAAACCCGTCACAGTAGATAGAAACCAGCTCGATGTGCTGAACTCATCTGAGACTCCGATAGTGGTACAAAGAGCATGACAATCGGCCATCGATCACCATAGACTGTAGAACACTGCCTGCAGGGATTAGCTGACCGCAAGTGCCCTTCAAGACAAAAACTTATGTCCATGAATCGGCGAGGAAATGCGCTTCTTGCGCCACATGCCCTGAATTCCAGCTCAGTCAACGGTCAGAATACGGAGTACCTCCCTCAGTCGCGCCTGGAACTCCGGGGCTCGGATTCTCCTCACGTGAGTGTCAAGCATGAGGTCTCGTACGAACTCAAGTTCGTCGATCACGTCCGGAGCAGGTTTTCTTGCATACAACTTGAGGTAATTCTTCGTATCGACGAGATAGACTCGCTGCTCTGGCAGTTGCGCTATGAGCAGATTGTGTTTGATACTATCGCGAGCGGTTGTGACATACGTCTTCCGCGCCCGTTGTATGAGCACTCCGCGTTTCTCCTCGTCCTCATCATCGCTGTCCTCCGCGATATCCTGTATGGTGTTCTCGATGCGCTGTAAGGATTTAGGGCGCACGATGTACGTGGGTATATTATAGAGGGAAGCATTTTGCATAATGGCAATGTCGATCTCGGTGATTCGCTCGCCAATCACGACGATGATGCAGTCGAAGATGTAAAGGCCCTGATCATTGAAGTATTGCGCTGCAGGAACTGTGAGGGTGCCTGCTCCAGGTATGTCGTACCAAACGAATGGTGTGTCCGGATTGGAATCGGGGTAGCGACCGATCTCGAGAGTGGTTTCCGTCGAGCCGGTGGGAGCTGCGCCGTCCTGTCCATTTCGCAGGCCACGCAAAGCATTGATTAGCGATGACTTTCCGCTGCCTGCAGCACCTGCAACTGCAAAATGGAATTTGCCTTCTTGATAGTCGAGTCGAAGGAGCGCCCTGTCGAATTCTGCTTTGCTAGGCAGAACAGTCGCAGTCGGCACGGATCGCCCTTTCGCCTCCGCTTTCTTGAGTAGCGATTGCAGATCTTCCTGCCACTGAGCAGGACGGCGACTCTCTTCGCGAACTTCCGTCATCTCGACATTTACCTCAGGCTGGTCGCGGATCGGATCCTCCTCATGATTCGAATCCCCCGTTTCCAACCTTCTTCTGAGCCATATCATGGTCGGGCTCTCGTCTGGTCCTCCTCCAGGCCGCGGCCACAATATTGTCAAGATCAAAACTATCGCGCACCCCGCGATTGACCCTGGGATGGCAGCCAGCAAGCCTGCGGCAGCAGCACCCTCCGCGGCAGTAAAAGCTCCTGCAGCGACACCTCCAGTAGTCATTCCTCCTATCAACGAAAACAGTGCGCTGTATGTCGCACAAGATTTCGACGACTCAATCGCTACTAAGCAACCTGAGATGTACGCGGCGACTTACGCAGCCTGAGGAACTGCATGGCTTGAGGCATATCCGAAGACTTGTGCGACTTGCGGGCCCACATAGGACGCTAACGGCGCGGACATGAGCACACCCATCTCCACTATGGGAGGACAGTTCTGCCTGTAATCCTGCACTGAGCGGGTGAGGCTGACTGGGAGATGATGAGAAACGCGATGAAAGAGATTGCAATTGAATGTGAATGAGGTGAACCCATCGGCCATCACCGTGCGGTCCGTGCCTCGTGCATGTTGTGACACTCTCACCTGCCATATAAAGGGCGCGAGCCTCAAGCAAGGTTAAGAAGTCAAGACGCCCACGAGTGTCGAGCTCGAATCGTTCATGAACCATCCTTTAATGCACTGATATATAGTCTAGCTGTGCTTTCGCAGATAACACTCACTGATGGAGCCCGTCGGTCTTCCCGCGGCCAGTCAATTCCTGATGCTATTTATATAGGCGAGAATCCAAACGGTTTGGTGTGTTCTGCCAAGCCGTCACATGCAAGGTTCCCAGATGCGCTACATTCAAAATTGGAGCGAAGGAGTCGAGCAGGACCTGAGGAACACGACGACTGTCAATTGGCACATGATAAGCACACGTAAAGCCCTTGATGTGTACGGTGTTCTCACCTGCGATTGCAAGTTTCGCGAGTCTGTGGCGCAGAACTGACATTGCACTTAAGAATCCTACGGAATATGCAATATGCTGAATTGCGTGGAGAGATAGCTCGATATTGCTAATATATATATAAAATCAATGCAACAATCCAGCACACCATGATATACGAGGAAACTGTGATGCTACAGACGTTCGTCCTAAGGAACCGAAACTTGAGGTTGTCTAGCGCGTGAGAGTGTGAAACGAACGACACAAGTCATTGCAATGTTCGACACCGATGCGTTACAAACGTCTGATACTTAAAGTCAGACTGCGCGAAGCGGAATATATATAGGGTGACAACTTACCTGCAGACTACTTGTTTTTCTTCTTCTTGCGTGGCTCTTCCTCATCTTCAAGCAGGACCTCACCTACGCACGGGATCTTCTTGTTACGCACATGCCTATCGAGCGAATCGCGCCGAGCGAAGCTTTTCTGACACCCGCCAGTCATCTCCATTCCATCGATCGTGTATATATGCTTTACAGCCTTGATCCCAAATAGTTTCGCTTGCGCGACGGGTACGCCGCGACACACCCACATATTGCGAGCGTCTGCAGAGTGTGTCTTGATATGCCGTTTCATATCCCCTAGACGCCGGCTCGACTGCTTGAAGCCACAGCCGACTGGACAATGTGTCGATTGGCTCGTAGTGAACTTCTGGAAGAGCGCTTCGAGTTTCTGGTGGTCGAGAGACACCTGCTCGTTTCGGGCACGCGAAGCATATGATTCAGGGCTGACGGAACGGGAAGGAGGAGCAGAGGAAGGTGGGCGAGAGGCGGTGCGGGTCGATGCAACTGAAGGCGGGCGAGAGGCAGTGCGGGTAGATACAAGTGAAGGGGAAGGAGCACGCGATGTGCGAGACGATGAAGCATTACGATAGGGATGATAGCGGCGGATGCGGGACTTTTGAACCCGTGCGAGTCGGGTGGGGAAGAATTCATCCTCGCTGGATTCCTCTTGCTTCGTGCGAGTCGCTTCCGATTCGTCCTCGGATTCCGCATATGAATCGGGAGTATCACGGGTCCTACTGACATACCGCGCGGTCTGTTGTCCAGGCCGGACTGATGTGGTGAGACTTTGCCGAGAAGTAGACCTGTAGCACAGAACTATCAATGAACTACGCCCCATCGTTTATCAGATAGACAAAGATATTATGTTCATCGCAACGCCTGTAACCACTGAGGTCTGCAGCATTTGAGTTCAAATTGGTACGTATATGAACGGGCACGTTCCGGAAATGGCTCGAATGCAAATTAAAGGAACCTACCTCAGACCCGATCCACGGAGACCAGTGGGAAAGTTCGATGGTCCGCTTAGGGCCGCCTGTGATCCCTCTGAATCGGGCCCGTCTGCCTCGTTTGCTTCATCGTCCACTCGTGTGGCACGCAGGTCGGAGTCGCGCTGGCTTGAATTGACCGACCGCTGAGCATTGTCTGCTGTATAAATATGCCTTGTGGAAGGCCCCGGGCCTTTACCCCGTTGATCTGTGTCCCAGCTTGTCCCGAATGCCAAGTGGTAGCGATGCTTGAAGAAAGCTATGCGACAAGCGAGAGGAAGTGATAACTCGAATGAGAATGAAAGCCTGGATGCAGCTGAAGATAGATCGTACTGCGCATGAACTGTGCTAATGGCCCAGCGTGTAAATGGACGACAGAGGTTTTGCAACAGACATAGACGTTCGACGTTCACTGTTCAGTGGCAAGTGGCGTTGTTTAGCGCCCGACGTTGTGGCGAGCACGTTGGGCTTTGCCGCATGGTGTGGCCGCGCACGGGTTTCGCTACAACTTGACGAACGAGCCACCGCATCTGGCGTACTACGTTTCGCCTGCAATGGCACTATTCAGAAGGTCGATAACGAACGATGCAGTCCATCGCAAACTCCGAGCTTGGATGGGTATTGCGAGTGGCACCGGCTATGTGCACCACGTGGAATTTCGGTAGAAAATTCCGTTCAAGCTTGACATGGCACTCTCAAGTCCTTAATCGAAACTTTGCTGTGCGTATATACGTTCAGATTTGTGGACGTGCATGGGCTGCCGTACCCGTTCTGAACATCGGAAATAAAGTTGTCAGACATTTTTCAGAGTTAGCACGGCGCAAAGACGGCAATTTTGACGAGTATTGCAGGGCAGAACACTTTCATGTGCATGTCAGCTTTATCGGACCGCAACGCGTATTACGGTACTGTAGCTATACAGGATGAGCTACGCACGAGCGAGCGTACGCGAAATGTCCAAGGTCTTGAAGTGCTACATACTAGAAAGGCAAGATGACATATGATGAAGTCCGACACATTCCGCAAGCTGATCATCCGAAGAAGTGAATGATACAAGATACGAAACTTCGAGCTAGAGGCAATCTTCGCGTACATCATCAATATTGAGAAAAACCTGTAGAAAGAAGTCTCGGCCGAGGTAACGCCTGGCATCACGTTTGGTCAATCATGAATGCAAATGGATCGATACCACGTCGGTTCAATTCATCTGATGCCCAGGTCAATCAATAAGTCTTCTCAAAGCTTCCCATCGTCGATCATGTTTTTCAGCTTCTTATCCTGTGAGGTAGACTCGTCGACTCGGGAGCCAACGTCGGCAAAATTGAAAGCAACACTTCCATGCGTATGCGTATGCGTGATGTACTTGTCGCAATCTGTTTATTCGCACCGATGGCCTTGACTGCACGATGCACTTCGGAACGTTTCGGAGGCGTTCGCAGTCTCGTAAAATCTCGATGTCGACCTCCAATGAATGTCTGTCGAAGAGGACAACGATGCATTTGAATACGTAAAGCCGTTGATCGTTGGAGTAAAGCTCCGGGAATCGTTAGGGTATGGTTCCTGGAGTATCATAACAGACAAACGGGCGAGCGGAACCGAGGTTGTAGCCATAATGAGCGCAATGCATCGTAATCTCCATCGTACCATTCAGCATCGCCCCTGGATCACTGTTGCAAAGACCGTGCAGGGCACTTATCAGAGGTGACTTCGTTCCTGTGCCAGCAATGGCGATATGAATCTTGGAAGTTGCACCTCTTCGTCAGTCAGTAGGAAGAATGATGGATTTGCGCGGTCACCACATGCTTACCTCTGCCAGTCTTAATATTCTGAGTCTTCGCCGCGAAGTGTTTCCAAACATAAGCTTTATGCCTCGTGATACTTGGATATCTGGATCCTCAGGCCTCAGATCTCAGCTTTAATGATACATCAGAACGTTCCTCCTACTAGGTAAAGGTTGTGAAAACGCCGGACGTCAGTTGATTTACCATTTCGCGACTGTGTACTTGGTCGTGACAGAACTAACATGATGCTGATGCGACGTACGACATCTGATTAACACAGTATAAGCGTACATATCGAGCAAGATATATTGACGAGCGCGAGCGCAGACAAACATCACGCAATGCAGGATGCGTGTACACGATCATGAAAGTCAGGACAAGTATACATCATGCATGAAAAAGCATACAAACTTTGATGAGAAACATATAGCAGATTGGCACATACCCGGAACCGCAAAAATGCAGGAAATGGCCTTATACAGAGTTCATAGCGTAAGACGTACCGTGTCAACCTCGGGCAACAACAGAGCGGGAACGGCGGAGACGGGCCTCGGCGAGAAGATCCCTGAGTAGAATCCACTCGTCGATGGCCTTCGGAGGCTGACGGCCCTTGATTACTTGCGCCATCGTCTCCTTGTCCACGAGATAGACCCTCTGCGGGGGCAACTTTGCTTGTTCAAGGTTCCGCAGGACGCTCTTGCGGGTCTCGAGGTCGTACTGCTCCCGCGCGCGCGCCCATTTGGCTGCCTCCGAGCCCAGGGTCTTCCCCTCCACTTCCTCATCGTCCAGGGTCTCATCCTCCTCCTCCTCATCGTCCCACTCCAAGTCCTCCATGACATTGCGAATGTGCTGGAGGGACTTGGAGCGTACGATGTAAGCTGGAATATTGAAACGCTCGCAATTGCGAAGGATCGCGATGTCCGTGTCGGTGAACCGGGCGTCGAAAAGCACAATGATGCAATCAAAAACGTACAATCCCTGAGCGTTGAAGTACACGAAGTCGGGGATTTTCAAGGTACCAGCGCCCGGAACATCATACCACACAAACGGGTTCCGAGAGTCGGGGTCGGGGTAACGAGTGATAACACTCGTGGTCTCGGTAACGCCTGTGGGTGCGGCGCCGGCGCCACGATGTTTGTTTCTCAAGCCGCGGAATGCGTTGATGAGTGAGGATTTGCCGCTGCCGGCAATTCCAGCGACCGCGAAGTGGAATAAGCCCTCTTGATACTGCAGACGCTTCTTGGTTGCGTTATACTCCTCCATTGTCGGAATGAGGACGGGCTTGATCCCCTTCCGGACGTTTCGCTGCACCTCCTCGAGCTGCTCCCTTGCCTCCTGGGCCACCTTGTCTGCTGCAGCCCTAGCTTCCTCCGCCCTCTTCCTCTCTTCCTCAGCATTCCTACGTTCTTCTTCAGCGCATCTCTTTTCCTCTTCCGCTTTACGCTGTCCTTCTTCGGCACGCCTGGTATCCTCTTCGGCCTTCCTCCTGGCCTCATCGGCCAGCCACTTCTCATGCTCCGCCCTCCGCTGGCCCTCCTCAGCATTATTGCACTCTTCCTCCGTCTTCCTGGCTTCTTCTTCGGTCTGTCTGCGTCTCTCCTCAGCATCTCGTTGTTGAGTCTCCGCCCACTGCCTCGCCTCTTCCGCCCTCCGTTTCTCCTCCTCGGCCCTCCGAGCATCCTCTTCAGCCCTGTGTTGAGCCTCCTCTGCCCGCCGCCGCTCTGCTTCTCGCTCACGGGCCTCGTTCTCGGCCTTCCTGCGCTGTTCCTCTGCCTGTCGCTTTTCTTCCTCCGCACGCCACTTCTCCGCCTCAGCTTGCTCCCTCTTTCTCTGTTCTTCTCGGATGCGCTCTTCTAACTCCTCCGTCACGGGATTGCGCGCGATGGAACCGGAAGACGAGTCGGACCGGAGACCTTCGATCAAGCCGACGACAGCACCGATGAGGTCTGTCGCGACGGCGATGACAGATTCGACTACTCCCATATGACTGATTGGACGAATGTTATTCATCATTGACGTGAGATACGATGTAAGATATGGACTTTGGCAGTAGCTTCACACTTACAGGTAGCAGATGATTGAAAACAGGCAAGCGATGCGAACGATGACGGGCGGGGATGGCAGGGGAGCAAAGAGGTACGTCGAATGGTGAGGGCGCTGATCATGCCAGGGACGCGCATTCCTGTATTTAAGAGCACGGGCACGTGTAGTAGGCATGTATCGCGCGCAGAATCTCGTCATCTTTGGAGAATACTGGGACAATGGATCTGCGATCGCGTAGATTGAATACAGAGCGCTGATAAGATAATCTGCCGTCGGCTCTGATCGCGTTCTGCCCCGATCTGCCAAAACTACTATTGTAGCAAATCTCATTGGTCCATTCCAATTTTGTCTGTACTTTTGTCCTGGATTAAACCCGATGTGTCCGGCCTTGCCTCCCGTTCTTTAACAATTTATATACCGCCGAAGGCGGTCGAGGGTGTGGCTAAGTACATGGCATATCGCAGGATTACGTAGGTAGGGACGGGGGTGGGGTGATACAAGCGACCACGACCGGGACAGAGCCTATCCGGGTGTGTAGGTCCAGGCATCGCTGCCTCGGAGGAAGGCGTTCAGCCCTCCCGTGTCGTACGGTATATCTCCTGTCCTCCCCGCACTCACAAAAGGAGATTTATAGGTCTACCTAGGGGAGACAACGTGTCGCGTCTCCCACGCAGCACTCACCGTCCCGACGTCGTACATCGTGTCGTGACATACCATGGGCAAGAGCGTCTTCTCCGTGCCTATCTTCTTCATCGTCTTTCGTGAGACCCTCGAGGCGGCCATCATCGTCTCCGTCCTGCTCGGTCTTGTCGAGCAGATCGTGAAGGAGAGCGACGGCACGGCGCTTGGCTTGGCGGAACCCAATGTGCAGGGGGAGTCGGGTAACGCAGAGCACGAGGAAAAGCAACACTCTCATTCTGACACGGCTTCATCGACACAGCAAGACGATGCATCTGCACCTGAGCTTCTGGTCGAGCCCGACCGCGACCTCGCGATGAAGCGGCTGATGCGCAAGATGCGGCTGCAGATTTTTTTTGGTGCTGTTCTCGGCCTGATCATTGCAGCTGCTATCGGTGCTGCTTTCATCGCCGTCTGGTTCACCCAAGCGTCCAACTTGTGGTCAAGTACGGAGGGACTGTGGGAAGGTAGGAAGACGCATGCTACCCAGAGAAAAGCACTCTGCTCACCGGTGCTGCCCTGCAGGTATTTTCTCGGTCGTCGCAGCGATCATCATCTTCGTTATGGGCGTTACCATGCTCAAGATGGACCGCGCAAAAGCAAAGTGGCGCATCAAGCTACTCAACGCGTTCTCTGGCAAGCGTACGTCTGCCATTATGCCTAACCGTCACATTGTCTGCCAGCTGACTTGCCACTTCTTCACTTTCAGGCGTGGACAAGTCGACTCGTGCCGGCCGCTGGATGCTGTTCATCCTGCCGCTTATTACCGTCTTGCGTGAGGGCATGGAAGCTGTCGTCTTTGTCGGTGGTGTGTCGCTCGGACAGAGTGCCACCGCGATTCCGATCGCTGCTATCGTCGGCTTCGTTTGCGGCATCGTCTGCGGATACCTCATTTATGCATTTGCCAGTCGCACGAGTGAGTTTTTAGTATTCAACGTATGAGAAACGCGTAATTGAACTCGCGCCTCCCCAGCATTGACGATATTCATGGTTGTGATGACGAACTTCATTCTCCTCATCGGTGCCGGACTGTTCAGCAGGGGTATCTGGGACTTTCAGCAGCAGCACTTTGACAACATGTATGCACACCCTCCAAGATATTTTTGCCCTCACTGTACAACTGTTTTTCTTTCTCTTCATAGCGTCGGTAAAGAGGTCGGCGACACAGGAGGCGACGGCCCGGGATCGTTCGATGTACAAGGAAATGTCTGGCATCTCGACTGCTGTAACCCCAATAACGACTTCGACAGCGACGGCTGGTCAATTTTCTACGCCATCTTCGGTTGGACGAACAGTGCGACGATGGGAAGCGTCCTCTCCTATGTTTTCTACTGGCTCGCCGTAATTGCCGTGCTGATTTACCTCAAGTTCAAGGAGGTCTGTATCTTGTTTACCGCATTCTTCGCGGCGAATTCTGACGTGTGACGTTTCGCTGTTTCTAGGGTCGCACGAAGCTGTTGGGCAAGGAGAGCGCTGCAGGCGTGCGTCGCCGGGAACGTCAGGAAAGGCTCGCGCTCGAGGCGGAGGACGAAAAGACCAGCAAGCTGGAAGAGGAAGTCATTGCATGAGGACTGCAGCGGTAGACAAGCGTACATATCAATCAAGATATATTGACGAGCGCCAGCACAGACAACCATCACGCAATGCAGGATGCATGTACACGATCACGAAAGGCAATACAGCATACATGAAAAGGGTATGCAAACTTTAACGAGAAATGTTTAGCAGATCGGTACACACCCGGAACCGCAAAAAATGCAAGAGATGGCGTTATACAGAGCTCATGGCGCAAGACGTACCATGTCAACCTCGGGCAACAACAGAGCGGGAACGTCGAAGACGAGCCTCGGCGAGAAGATCCCTGAGTAGAATCCACTCGTCGATGGCTTTCGGAGGCTGACGGCCCTTGATTACTTGCGCCATTGTCTCCTTGTCCATAAGATAGACCCTCTGCGGAGGCAACTTTGCTTCTTCAAGGTTTCGCATGACGCTCTCGCGGGTCTCGAGGTCGTACTTCTCCCGCGCGCGCGCCCATTTGGCTGCATCGTCCAGGGTCTCCTCATCCTCCTCCTCATCGTCCCACTCCAAGTCCTCCGTGACATTGCGAATGTGCTGGAGGGACTTGGAGCGTACGATGTATGCTGGAATATTGAATCGCTCGCAATTGCGAAGGATCGCAATGTCCGTGTCGGTGAAGCGAGCGTCGAAAAGCACAATAATGCAGTCAAAGACGTACAAGCCCTGAGAATTGAAGTACACGAAGTCGGGGATTTTCAGGGTACCGGCACCCGGAACGTCATACCACACGAACGGGTTCCGAGAGTCGGGGTCGGGGTAGCGAGTAATAACACTCGTGGTCTCGGTAACGCCTGTGGGTGCCGCGTCACGGTGACTGTTTTTCAAGCCGCGGAATGCGTTGATGAGCGAGGATTTGCCGCTGCCGGCAATTCCAGCGACTGCGAAGTGGAACAGGCCCTCTTGATACTGCAGGCGTTCTTTGGTTGCATGATACTCCTCCAGTGTCGGAATGAGGACGGGCTTGATCCCCTTCCGGACGCTTCGCTGCACCTCTTCGAGCTGCTCCCTCGTCTCGTGGGCCACCTTGTCTGCTACAGTCCTAGCCTCCTCTGCCTTCTTCCTCTTCTCCTCAACATTTTTAAATTCATCTTCAGCCCGTCTCTTTTCTTCTTCCGCTTTGCGCTGTTCTTCTCCGGCGCGCCTGGTATCCTCCTCGGCCTTCCTCCTGGCCTCATCAGCCAGGTTCTTCTCGTGCTCCGCCCTGCGCTGACCCTCTTCAGCATTCCTGCGCTCTTCCTCCGTCTTCCTGGCTTCTTCTTCGGCCTGTCTGCGTCTCTCCTCAGCATCTCGTTGTTGATTCTCTGCCCGCTGCTTCGCCTCTTCCGCCCTCCGAGCGTCCGCCTCAGCCTGCTCCCTTTTCTTCTCTTCTTTCCGCATGCGCTCCTCTAACTCTTCCATCACGGGATTGGGTGCGATGGAACCAGAGGACCAGTCGGACCGGCAAGCTTCGACTAACCTGGTGACCGCAAACACGAGGCCTGTCGCTACGACGAGGACAGATTCGACTACTCCCATGTTGCTGATAGGACGAATGTTATTCACCATCGACGTGAGATACGATGTACGACTCACCCGGGTAGATAAGCAGCTTCACACCTACAGGTAGCAGATGATTAGAAAGAGACAAGCGATACGAACGATGACGGGCGGGGATAGCAGAGGAGCAAAGAGGCACGTCGAGTGGGTACAGAACTGAGTAGCCTTATTCTGCTGGCGATGTGCACTCCTGTATTTAAAAGCCCCCCACAGAAGCAAGGGCATGTGCGGTAGGCATGTATCGCGCGCAGAATCTGATCATCTTTGGACACGAAGAGTGAGCATTCTGGGGTTAGATCTGCGAACGCGTAGATAACGGTAACCTAGCTGCTCTAGTGGCACTTCTTAATCCCAGGCTCAGGGTCTGAGACACTATGCATGGAATACGGAGCGCTAACACCCTCGGTTCGTGCGTGGTGCATCAATAGATCGCATATCTATTGAGCGACGAGCAGTGTCTCAAGCAGACTGAAGCAAGCGATTGATCGCGGATTGCATGGAAAACCGTGTTCTCAGAGAGGATGAGGGTGGAGGAGAACCGCGGATTCCGATGAGGATATGGAAGATAGTCAATTCGCCATATGCACGTTGACCTTTCGACTAGGATGAGATGGAGCCTGGTGCCTTCCTGGTTAGTAGCGAGCGATGCCGGGAACAAAGAGTCAAGCTTTTAATTTTACATTCTGTGCACTTCGCGTGTTTCTGAAGTGTTTCGTGAGGCGCTATATGCGGAGGAACTAGGAGATAACGCGGGATTAGGCAAGATCATTGAACGAATGCCCTCCGAGTCTTTCAACGAGGTTTAACGCGGTTATGAGTATTCTTGGGAACCGCCGATGGTGTAGCTCGCTGATAGAGCTGCATAGATGTTAGCGAGCAAAGTCAATAGATCGCATATCTATCGGGCGACGAGCAGTGTCTGATGCAGACAAAAGCAAGAGATCAATCTTGTGGACTGCATGGAGAATAGTAGGCTCGAGCTAATACCAGGGGGTCCAGTGAGAAGTGTACCCGTGGGAACGCCGAGTTTGAACATGCCGCCGCCACCGCCACAACGCGACCACGCGACCAGAGGACGCGCCTCAGGCTGAGCGTGTCTTCCTGCATACTCCTCGTGTCGCTCAATGCTAGCATGACGTTCGTTAACGCATTCATACGGTCAAAGTCCTGTCTAAAGTAGCAAATATGTCTGAACCTGCTCAGTCTTCTCTCGGCGACCCTCAAATCAACGCTGAATGGCTTGCTGAGCTGTTCTCTCAAAAGTGTGGGATCTCGCAACCGCAAGAATTCCAGATCAAACACGGACTAGACATCATTGAAGGACGCAAGGTATTTCTAGTTATTGCACCAGGTCAGGGCAAGACGACAGTCTTCTGGGCCCCTCTACTCGCAGCTCAAGCACTCGGTGAGCGAGGCGTCGCGTTATACATTGTCCCTACCAAGCTACTTTCTATACAGCAGGTACGATATCTCTGCTGGATTCACACACAGAAATAAAGAGCTATGTATGGCTTGATTTACCAGAGCGAGAGTGCCCGTCGAGTTGGGCTGCGCGCGATCGCGCTGAACGAGGATACTGTCCGCGACGCATACTACGACAAGCGCGATCTTTACGACGAGCTGCAGAACGGTAAAGATGTCCGCATCACTTTCCTGAGCCCTCAAATGCTTGCTGGAGAACGCATGATGAAGCTCCTGCGAATATCTGGCTTCAAAGACCTGATCCGCTGGTTCATGATTGATGAGGCTCACTTGCCCGATGACGAGAGCCCTCTCTGGCGCGAAAGCTATTCTGTTCTCAAGACGATGCGTGCGCGGCTGAACTCCAATACAACCTGGGTTGCTGTGACCGGTACGGCTACTTCTGGTCATGCTCTCAAAATTGCGGCAGGTCTTGGCTTTCGGCAAGGGCAGTACGTGAACGCTCGTTACTCCATTGACTGCCCGCATATCAAGTACATCACTCGCTTCTTTATGCACCCATTCTCTGGCTCCGAGTTTCGATCGTCTCGACTCCGCGGAGAAGGTGGGTATATCAAAAGTTCCACTAGATGAATGCTGAGAAGGAGAGGGTGTAAAATACCCATGCTGCCAACTGTACGTTTGGAAGTTGGAGCCATAGCCTGCAAATATTGGACTGTACTGCCCATGGTATGCTGTATGCGGGTGAGAAGCTGTCGAAAAGGGACTGGCAAGCGGATAGGGCCTAGAGTCTGGGGAGTGGTTCGGGCCACTTTGGCGGGCAGAGGAAGGGAAAGTGGGGCTTTCTCTGCTTGCTTCTTCATCACTTTGATTTGTACTCTGTATTGCATTGGTTTCTTGAGATGACATGGCTAAAATACACGAGAGGAACACGATCTACGTGCGATGTTCTTTACAGACGCGTTCTGTACAACGCGATCACGTGGTGTGTCCGACCAGCGCCAAAGCTTCGAGCGTCGAATTGCCATCGGCATGTTGAAGCTCCGCTTTCCCACGGGGGTCTTCTGGACCCCCCGTGATAGTCTCAGCCTGAGTATAAGGAACGACTGTCTTCCTGTACGAAGGCTGATTTATGAGCCTAGGAGAATAGTGCGAGAATGCGCGTGGTCGTGTATGAACGAAGCGCGCAGTGGCAAATAGTCGTTTCTCCACGCAACGGATATACCTCAAGTGCAACTTTTGTGGCTCTATATTGTCAATTTTCTGGTCCATCCCGAAGTATATTAACCATTTCTCACCGCTTTTGCAGTATATGCTCGCCAGAGGCATCTTCAAGTTGCACTAGAAGAAAATAGGCACTGCAGAAAGGGGAAGGAACACCACTGCACAAGCGAGTTTCTCTTGAGCTCCTGCAGTACTTTGGAAGACAGAAGTTCTCTGTAACCGTGGCTAGCCAACCGAGTCTGTTCTGTACAGAACATTGCGCAGTAGACAGAACTCGAGCGAAATGTGCTCAAATCTCGGCGAAAACAGGTCACTGAACGTCTCATCTAGGTAAGTCGTGCTTCCTGTAACGAATCTATCAATCTGATCACTTATGCCAGCTGGAACACTTTGCGGCGCCGTGATTCAATGCTCAGGCATGTGCACTATGCAGCGCTTTATACTCATGAATACAGCCACCGGCGTCCGTCTTCTCTCTGCAGGTATCACCATCAGTTAAGGTTCTACATGCTTCCTCTTGCAACTCATTCGCATGCTGTCGGAACCGACTTCAGTTTCTTCACGCTCCACGGGCCTGTGCATCCACGAATCCTGCTCTCAGGCGAACGAGAGCCTTGATATGCCGCCAGGAATGTGTGGCTTATGATCTGCGAAATTATGCATCGGCAAATTCAGCAGTGTTACTCATCATCATTTCGTCAAAACGATGTGCCATTAGTGGGAGCATTTATGTCATCTGCGCCGAATCTTCCGAAAGGACATCAGTGGCAGTCGTCCTCCATGACGTTCTCTGGCGCGACTGTAGGGCAGGCGAAGCTGCGCGTGTCCCTATGTCGCCGACTGCGGGACAAGTACGCCTAGTCTAGGGTTGACGTAGCCTGCAGTGGTTGAAATCACATGCACATGCACATGGCGGGTCGTTTCCAGCCAACCACGTTGCAATCCGAAAAAGGCGGAGATGTATTTAGCGCTCTGGATGGTGCGGAACCTCGTGCGTATCTTTTCATCCGATGTTCTAGCCACCACCTCCCAGATGCCGTGCCGGAGATCTCTCCGCTCAGCGCACCAACAAAATCAAATGAGACACGACAAGCATGCACGCAACATTCTGTCTCATCTCTGCATGCGCTCGACCTCCATCCCGTTTTCTGCGCTTCATACCCTCGTCTGATGCTCGATAGTACCTCTGGACCAAACCATAATGACTCTGAATCGCTCAACGCAACGAGGGTTGCTACCAATGTCACCGTAGGCCCCAGTCTTTACCCTCCTCGCGATCTGGAGGACCTTCAGAAGGTCCTCCGGAACGTAATGAAGAAGTAGGCACGATGGCACCGTTACGCTCACCTTGTCTCATTAACTGCTCGGAGACCAGGAAGGAGAAGCTTGAGATCAAGTCCCGAGAGCTCGGCGTTGTCTTTGAGAAACTCAGAGTAGTCGGCCTCGGTGCGATAGCCTCGCACCAACCGACGATTGCTTCAATGCTCAATCCGCTCAACCTGCTCCGCCAAATCAACTATCTCCGTCACCCGCCCCTCCGAGATATCCTGACCGACTTCGAAGGTGTTGTTAAGCCGGGAGAGATGCTCTGTAAGTCTCTTGCATCAACGCCTCATCGCATCTATAACAGAAACGAATTCTTCCTTCAGTGGTCCTCGGCCGCCCCGGTGCTGGATGCAGCACTCTCCTTCGTGCGCTTGCCAACAAATGGGACGATTACCATGCCATCCTCGGCGAAGTCCATTACGACTCGCTCACGCCGCAGCAGATCCATGCCTCCTATCGCGGCGACGTCCAGTACTGCCCCGAGGACGATGTCCACTTTCCCACCCTCACCGTCCAGGAGACGCTCGACTTTGCGGCCAAGACGCGTGTGCCGCAACAGCGAATCATCCCGCATAGAAAAGACCATGTCGCCCTCATGACGGAGGTGCTCGCTTCGGTGCTGGGGCTGACGCCTGTGCTGGATACAAAGGTGGGCGATGCGTCGATCCGGGGAATCAGTGGCGGAGAGAAGAAGCGGGTGTCAATTGCTGAGGTGCTCGCGACGCGTGGGCTGCTCACGTCTTGGGACAAGTACGTCGTCTCTGCTATGGTATCAATTCTTTTGTAGACTCACCCGATATTTTGAAGTTCTACCCGGGGCCTTGAGTACGTCTATCCCTCTCCTTCCGTTTCAGTCTTGTACACTCACACGTCCTTCCCAGTGCATCCACCGCCCTCGAGTTCATCCAGAGCCTCCGCACAGTGACGGACATCTGGAGGCTCACCACGATCGTCTCCATCTACCAGGCCGGGGAGTCGCTCTACCGAAACTTCGACAAGGTATGCGTCATTTACGATGGACGCATGGTGTACTTCGGGCCTGCCAACTGTGCGAGGCAGTATTTCATCGAGATGGGGTACGAGCCGGCGAATAGGCAGACGACGGCCGATTTTCTCGTCGCAGGTGCGTGGCGCTGTATCCATCCCGTGCCTTAAGGCACCTGTCTTGATCATATTCCGCGCATATAGTCACCAACCCACACGGCCGCACCGTCCGCCAGGGCTACGAGTCCCACGTGCCGCGTACCGCCGCCGAGCTCGCCGCTTACTTCACCTCAAGCGACACCGCACGGGCGAATCGCGAGGATATTGCCGCGTATAAGGACATGTTCGTCGGGAAAGAGGAGCGCGCGCTGCAGTTCAAGGAGAGCACGCGCGCGCAGCACTCGAAGCTTTCTCCCCCGAAAAGCTCGTACATCATCTCGACGCCGATGCAGGCGCAGGCGCTCATGATTCGGAGGATGCAGATCATCAAGGGTGGGATCGCGACGCAGGTGATTCAGCTGTCGTGAGTGAACGTTCACTTGTTGTGCGCTTCGGAGGTGGGTGCTGAGTGGATGCGTTGTTCCGTTTGGCAGGGTCTTCATCATACAGGCCGTTGTCGTTGGCACGATGTTTCTGCGCATGAAGCCCGAGACGAATACCTTCTTCTCTCGCGGCGGTGTTATCTTCTTGTAAGCAATCACCTACGGCTTTTCATATCTCTCGCTCACGTTTAATGCTCTAGCGCCCTCCTCTTCACTGCACTCTCCACCATGTCCGAGATCCCCTCCCTCTTCGTCCAGCGGCCCATCGTCCTCCGACAATCTCGCGCAGCGATGTACCACCCGTTCGTCGAGGCGCTCGCGCTCACGCTCGTAGATGTCCCCGTCACAGCGGTGATAGTGACCATCTTCTCCATCATATTCTACTTCCTCGTCGGCCTACAGCAGACTGCAGGCCATTTCTTGTGCGTGTTTCCTTGCTTCCTTCGATTCCGGCGTCAGCTGATCTGCGTTGTAATGCATGTAGTACCTTCCTGTTGTTCCTGTTGCTCATGACGCTCACGATGAAGGCGTGGTTCCGGTTGTTGGCAGCTGGCTTCAAGATTGCGGCTCCTGCGCAGTCACTCGCGGCCCTCTCGATTTTGATTCTCTGCCTGTACCTCGGATACACGCTGCCCAAGCCGAACATGATTGGCGCGCTGCGGTGGATCACATACATCGACGTGCGCATCCTCGTTCCTCTTACATTCTGCTTACCGAGACTGAGATCTCTACTTGACCCTTCATATTAGCCTTTGATCTATTCCTTCGAAGCGTTGATGGTAAATGAGTTCCACACTCTCGTGGCCGAGTGCTCGACCATCGTTCCGTCCGGCTCGACGTATGATGAGTACCCAATGACCTATCGGGCGTGTACGACGATCGGCTCTGTCGCTGGTGAGTCCCAGGTCTCGGGCTATCGATACGTGTTGGAGTCGTTCGGCTACCAGTTTAGTCATCTTTGGCGGGTGTGTTTCTTATCCCCTCCATGCCGTCTCGCTGTCTATATGCGTATCGTCTGCAGAATCTCGGCATTGTATTTGCCTTCCTCATCGGCTTCATTTGCTTTCTCCTACTGCTCACCGAGATCAACACCGCGGCGTCCATCGCGAACAGCGTCATCCTTTTCAAGCGCGGGTCCAAAACCGTCCTCAAGGAGAATGGATCTGAGAGCGACGAGGAAAAAGCCGCTTCTTCCGCGAGCAACGAGCCGCTCGTTTCATCTGCGCAGCCGGAGAAGAAGGTCGTTCCGGAGGGGGGCTTGCATACGTTCTCATTTAGCGATGTGACGTACAAAGTCCCTGTGAAGGGTGGATGGAGGACGCTGCTGGATAATGTGTCTGGGTACGTCGCTCCGGGGAAGCTGACGGCGTTGATAGGCGAGTCTGGTGCGGGAAAGGTACGTCCACCCTCTCTATATCAGCGTTCAGCGTAATCGATATCGAGGACATGTCTAGACTACGCTGCTCAACGCGTTGTCGGAACGTACGACTAGTGGCATCGTCACGGGAGAACGAGCCATGGACGGCCAGCCTCTCCCGTCAGACTTCCGTAATCAGACGTAAGTCGACGGGCCTCTCCTTGCTTATTAGTCTCATCGCCGATTGCTCGCGGTTGTAAGTGGTTACGTGCAGCAGATGGATACGCATCTTCCTTCTGCTACCGTCCGCGAGGCATTGTTGTTCTCTGCGAAGCTACGGCAGCCCAGCTCGGTAGCGTTGAAGGAGAAGGAGAAATAGTAAGTGCACATGCGGTTGGCCAGGGAGATTATCTGACGAATTTCGTACGAATCGAGCGTCGAAAAATGTCTCCACATGTGCGGTCTGGCAGAGTTCGCAGATGCGATTGTGGGCACACTAGACGTGGAGCAACGCAAGCGGACGACTATCGCAGTTGAACTCGTTGCCAAGGTACTGCGATGACGTTATTTCGACGAATGTGTGATATACTCACCGGAATCCTATCAGCCGTCGTTAATTTTCTTGGACGAGCCTACCACTGGGCTTGACGCTCAGAGTGCATGGGCGATCATCTGCTTCTTGCGAAGCCTTGCCGACTCTGGCCAGTCGATTGTCTGCACGTATGTCACCTGGTTCATTCAGCTGGCACATGGAACTCATGCGATACGAACAGAATACATCAGCCGTCTGCGGAGCTCTTTCAGTCATTCGACAGGCTGCTGCTGTTGCGTAAAGGAGGTCAAACAGTCTACTTCGGCGACATAGGGGAGAAATCAAGCACGTTGATTGGTTACTTCCAGTCGAACGGTGCCCGGATTTGTGATGATTCGGAGAACCCGTAAGTGCTTTGTGGCTGTGCGAACGTTCGTGTTTACTGAGATACTATCGTAGTGCCGAGTATATCCTAGAAGTCATCGGCGCAGGCGCAACAGCAACCGTTGAGGAAGATTGGCACGACATCTGGCTGAAGTCACCAGAAGCGAAAGAGCGGCTCCGCGAGCTAGAGGCGGTGCACGCCAGCGGACGTCAACAGCAAGCGGTTCAGCCAAAGCTGAAATATACGTTTCCGACATTATGGCCATACCAGCTCACCATGCTGCTCGAGCGTGCCGCGGTGTATCGCTGGAGAAATCCTATTTATATGATGTCGAAACTTGGCGTCAACATCGCTGCGGGCTTGCTGATTGGCTTCACCTTCTTCAAGGCGAAGAACGGAATCCAAGATACTCAGGACAAGCTCTTCGTAAGTTATTCTTTTCTTGAAGGCTTCAGGGTTCACTGATGATGACTTTTCAGGCAATCTTCATGTCGACGGTCGTAAGCATAGCACTATCACAGCAACTGCAATCACCGTTTCTCGCGGCCCGAAGGGTCTATGAAATCCGCGAGAGGCACAGTCAGATGTACCACTGGAGTGCAATGATCGCATCTGAACTTTTAATCGAGATTCCATGGAATATTTTGGGATCATCGCTCTTCTTCCTTTGCTGGTTCTGGACTGTCGGCTTTCTCACTAGCCGCGCTGGCTTCACCTACCTCCTATATGCAGTCTTGTACCCATTATATTACACCTCCTTCGGCCAGGTGAGTTTTCGCGCGGACTCTACGCAAGGCTAATGCTCACATCCGTTTGCAGGCGGTTGCCGCGATGTCACCAAACGCAGAGATAGCAGCGTTGCTCTTCAGCTTCTTATTCGCCTATGTGCTTTTATTGTTCGTCATGGTTTTCTACATACTAGAGAATCTACACTTACGTCTTTTTGCAGTAACGGCGTCCTGCAGCCATTCCGCGAACTTGGATGGTGGAAATGGATGTACCGAGTATCTCCGTATACATATCTCGTCGAAGCGCTTACTGGACAAGGTTCGTTTCAGCACATTCTCTTGACTTGGTACTCAAAAGAACTGGTTTTAGCTGTCGGCCATACGAGCATCGTTTGCAGAGACGTCGAGCTGACCACCGTCCAGCCACCGTCCAATTACACATGCGAACAGTACCTCGGTCCCTTCGTATCGGTGGTCGGTGGTTACTTGACAAACCCAAATGCCACTAGCAGTTGTGAGTATTGTGCCTATAGCACAACCGACACATTTCTGGGAGATAATTTCAACATATACTATTCCCGTCATTGGAGAGATCTCGGCCTTTTCTGCGTATACATCGGGTTCAATGTAAGCAACCGAGCTGCAGCCCCTCATGAACTGACACTCACGTCGCAAATTTCGTAGATCGGTTGCATCTTCATCTTCATGTGGCTTTTCCGTATACACGGTGGAAGTCTCTTCCACTGGATCAAGACAAAAATTGCGCGTCGCACATAGATACCATAGTGTATATTATAATGACTCTGATGTCGGACGGACGGTTCCGCATAACATTTTCGAAATGATATCCCAATAGAATAGCACATTCCGACATTCCGTGTACACAGGACTTCATGCTGCTACGTCTTCCAATCTCGACATATTCAATGAGCCCCTGCTAAATCCTGCGGCTAGAGCAGCAAAGCCGCCCTCGCGTACTTCCTGCAAAAATACATCATGTTGATCCGCAAGGCGCTCGTTATTGCGGCGGATCTCCATGATCATTCCATGTGCACGAGCGCACTTCGGACACTCCGTTTCGTGGTCGCCGAGGCACCTATGAGACAGGAAAGTCAGTGATGGAAGGGGTAATTCACGTCGGATACGATACGTACCGTTGATGGTAACTATGATGGCACATGAAGTGCACGCTCGGGAGGTCGAGCTGGCCTTGACATTCTGAGCATTGCGTGACGTGGAAGACTTTGGGCTGGTCAGGGTCTGATAATTCTTCTACCTGGCGCAGCTTCTGCCGCGTCTCGTTGCGGTATGAGTCGATGAGTTGTTGATCCTGTGTCAAGGAAAATGTCGTCAGCAATTATATTGAGATTATCCAAGCGCCTGAGTGAAAACACTAGGAGAGACAGTACTGCCTGAAGAACAGTGGAATCTACAGACTCACAGTCTCAACTTCCTGCTGAGCTTGCTTGATCCTTGTCATCAACCATTGCTTCACCAAGCCAACGCTCGTGACGCCGTTCCTGCTCAGGACTTGTACGACACTCAGCGGCTGCATGATCCCTCGCTCGTCGACGATCCTGAGAATATTTTGCAAGTCCTCAGCGTGTCGCGATAACAGCTCCGGCGTCGAGGTCAAGAACCTCAGCACGAGCGGGTACAGTCCGGGCTTATCGTCACCGTACTTGTTCAGCGCACGGACGACCTCGGCGGGCGCATCAGGGTGTGTTTTCGCACGATAAGCATCCATCCAGAAACGCAGGATGTCCTCGTACATCCCCGAGCGCTCCCAAAGAAGTATCAAGCCCGGCGTGAAGGAGCGTGTGGAACATAGGATCAATGCATGCGTGGGGTCATATGGGACGTTGTCGCTCTGCAAGACGCGCAGGGCCTTGTTGGGCTCCGGCGAGCTGGTCTGTTCCACTGACGCACCATCTTGAATGAGGTACAGCTCCAGCAGGGTATTCCACACTGCGATCTGGTCCCGCTTCTCTGCTTCTTCATCAGCGTTCGGGTCGTTCTCAACCACAACGTGGGGTGCGTTCGGGTCGACGGTCTGACCCCATCGCCGCAGTGCAACGGACTCCAAGAAGCGCACGAAGTAGTCCATGTGATCGATGAAGTGCGCGAAATACAGACGTGGAGACGGGCGCTTCACACTTTGTACTCTCGCCTTCGTCGGAGATGGGTTTGTTGGGGTAGCGGGGGGAGGAGTGGCCGTTCTCGACACGTCTTGCACCGAGTCTCGGCGAGCCGGTCCACCGGGTCTAGCGGTCATAGTCGACGCGGACGAAGGTGCCGCCCCATCCGTCGGTGTCGCTGGAGCTGGTGTAGATGACCTGTTCAACGCAAGATAGGAAAGATATGATGGGCCGCCGCCACTTGCTTGTCGCGTTGGACCCTTGATTTCCTCCTCATCTTCGAAGGGCAACGGTGCGAGACTCGTGCAGAGATCGATGAGGAGCTGAGTCGTCTCTTCAGGGAGGTTATTCAGCATAGCTCGACCGTAACGAGCCAGATTTGCTTCTGCCTACGGTTCGATGTGATATCCTATCAGCAGAAGTCCGAAATTGTTGCTGCGTACACTCACCGCCTCAGCACCCAATCGCCTGAGGTACACCAACGCATCCTTGTAGTTCCCCGCGTCCTCGATTTGTATCCTCAGGTAGTCTTCGTGGCGCTCGTACTTCTTGGCGAGGTACGAAGCATGCTCAAAATATCCTGCCTGCCTGCAAACACGGATCGCAGTGTCAAGGTCGAACGGAAGTTCGTCTGTCGCGCGCGATGACTCCCGCTTAATGAAGCTGTCCAGACGCGCGACATCCTTCAGCTTCGTGTACGTGTTTAACAGCAGGGTTGTGTGGTCTGCATTGGCGCGCCCTAGCGAGTGGAGCTCTTGCAGGTACGTAACGAGGTTGTGTATCCGTTGTGCATCTAGGAACTGGGATGTTTCTTAGCCTTACTGTTATGCGAGGAGATGGAGAAGTAACACCAACCTTCCGGATCACGTAGCTTGGCTGCACGTGTCCGATGGTCTTTATATACTGCTGCATCGCACCGTCGTAGTCGCCCTTCGAGTATAAATGATCTCCAAATTGTCTATGGATATCAGCAACGCTCGATTCGTCCAGCTGTTGTGTCTTGGCAAGGGTCAGAGCATTCTTATACAATCCCTTGCGATACAACATGTCAAGTTTGACTGGGGTTGGTTTCTCTTCAAGGCACGACAGCTACGTTGTCGTGCATTAGCAATATAGAGGATATTATGAAGTTAAAGAGCGTACGTTACCGTCATTCGACAGGACATACAGTTTGCCCCAGACAGAAAGGACTTCACGGACACCTTCGGCGAATGTGCCACTATACGCGACAAGTCTGTTGTCCGGGTCGAACACGGTCAGCTTAGTGATCTCGGTGCCTGCAGACGAGCTATTCTTCGCTACAAAATTCCGAACCGTCGCCGACGCAGCACCTCCGGACGGGAAAAATGGAGGCGAGACAATGACCACGTAAGTCAGATGTGTATGGATGGATGCCTTCTGCCCTGCTCTCTCGTATCAGCTCGCACCCTTGCCGCACCACAGCTAGCGTACCTTCATAAGCATATGACGAGCCCCGGCTATCCGTCCCACATATGAATATCGCCTCGTCCTTGGCCACTATCATATTCCTCGCATGCAAGTCCATGGTCGCGCATCCCAGTCCGCAGCCGACCTCGCTGACTACCGTGGGCGCAGCACCGTGCCCCTTCCCCGACACCTGGTACGTGAGCACACGGTTGAGGGTGACAATGAAGAGGTACATGTTCGGCGTGTCCTCGTCCGGCTCGCAGAACCCGAGGCCGGTGATGGGCTCCGTAGGGGACTCGAAGATGACGCGCGCCTTGGGAAGGGAGGTGAGCGAGGTCGAGCCGGAGAAGACGGATTGATCGAGATGGCGGTAGAGGAGGACGGTGCCGTCGCCGAGGCCGATGGCAAGGTGGGAGAGTGTCTCGGAGAGGGCGATCGTGGTCACCTGGATGTTCGTCGTTTGGTACCGTTCCCGTTAGAGACAGGTGTGAAGCCACTCACTGGATGTGGACGGCTTCCGCTTTGGACCTTTGTTGAGCGGAGGAGCACTGGAGCACCCGTCTTCTTGTCGCTGTGCTCCAAATCCCACACCTTGAGGAAGGGATGCCGAGCGGTATCCTCCTCCTGGATGCGGTGTCAATGGAATGGATAGATATCGCATAGTCGTAGACGTACGCCGAGCGTTATGAGAGTGCCCTTCCGCTCTCCCATATGCGTGACCCTCCCACTGGTATGCGCAATCCAACTCTTGACAATCTCGAACTCGCGATTGAGTAGATACACGCTGCCATGTATGTCCGCGACTAGAGGGCCTAAGGAGGATGGGATAATGGTCGAGATCTCTGGCGTTTTCCCCTGGACAGATGGGCATGTTCATTTAGCCACTATATCAGGTCAATAACATGCACACCTTGAATATTTCTGGAGGGTTTGCGAGGTCATGAATGTCCTTCACCGGAACTACGTCGAAGAACGTGAACTGCCGCCACTGCGACGGAACTTTCAATCATCCGCTCACGAGAGGCGCAACGATCTAGTCGCTGGTACTCACTACTGGTGCAGACAAAACGGCCGATTGCGCGGACATGGTCCAAGGTATATGCGTTCAGATGGGTATACTATATGGTTGTGAGGGCCTACAGGACGAGCTGCTCCTTCGTGCCTGGAGAGCTTTATGATGTCTGCCGGGCTGTTGCAAAAGTGATACGTCTCCGAGATATACGCGTACTGTCTCAGAAACTCCTCCACAGTCGGATTGATAGAGTATGCTCAACAAGACGCGTCCTAGCAAGTAATGATGGTGGCGAGCGTCAAGGTATACCAAACTAATAAAGGTCAATACAAATCGGTTGTTACCACGCGTTGGCGCCCGTCGACCCGGCCTCTCCGACGGTGCACACGAACACGCTCACTTGCTACCGACGCTCTGCAACCTCCCGTACGCGCGTTCTCACCGCTTGCTGCGCGAACCCTGCTGCTCACTACTCTCCTGGAAGCTCCTTCGCAGACTTTATAACGAAATGAGCTTCTTTGGTTTCCGCAAGTGGCCCACTCCCGCACGTCCATTTTTTCCTTGCCGCCTCATGCACTGCTGACTCTCCATACCTATACAGGTGGCTAAGCCCCTGTGGCCCTTCATCACCGCCGGCTTTGTCACGTACTACTTCGTCAACAAGCTGCAAGACATGGCCGTCAAGTGTGCGTCGCTCTCTTTTCGTCTCACTCTGTGTCAGGCCGCTGAACAGATCGACCGACGCTTGCAGCCGAGAAATACAAGAATGACCCGCGCAACCCATACGCTGAACAGATCGCGAAGGAGGCGCATCACTAGAATGCTCAAGCGGAGTAGCTGTGTTTGACTGCGCGCGTGTACCGCTGGACGAATAGACACAGAAATTACTGCGATCAGCACGTCTGAGCTATGCGGGCTTGGCATAGACATGCCAGTGTGAAGCAGTTTGCGTACACCGGGGCGAAGCCGAGGTGAGGACGCTCAATGCGGTGTTGGCGGCAGGCACGCCGCAGCGCGTTTCCCCGCGCGCCGTGTATGTTTGTGCGCTTCTGGTACATTGACTTCGCCGGATCTCTTTTTCCCGACTCGTTTCATGCTATACGCCGTCCAGCCGTCCTTCACGCGAATGATGGATTGCGAGGACACGCCTAGCAGATGCGCTAGGAGGCAAGAGCCTTCACATTCTGCTGCGCCTTACGTGTCCGACGAGTCAGACTGGAGTGACATACGCGTACCAACGGCTTTTAGACCTCTAATGTCCATTTGCTGATTGCAACGGTGACGACGAGTGCGGTGCTGCACGGCGCTGCCTTGGCAGGGACATTAATATATAGTGAGGACTTGGATGACCGGGGCATCCCCTATCTTCACTACACCTAACTTTTACCAGCATGAACGTCTTCGCCATCGGAGCCTCGCGCAACATCGGCTACTTCGCCGCACTCAGACTGCTCGGTGAGCCCCTCTCTGCCGCGATTTCTATGCTATGCAACTGACCGACGGACGCACCTCAGCCCAAGGGGCCACAGTGACCTTTTTCCTCCGCTCGCCCTCGGTGTTTGACCAGGATAAGGCAATCCAAGAGTTCGTGTCCTCTGGGAAGGCGCGCCTCGTCAAGGGCGACGCGTTGAATGCAGATGACGTTCGCCGAGGCTGGGAAACGGCCCAGAACGGAGGCACCGACCGCGTCGACCTCCTCCTCTTCACAGTCGGTACGCATCCTCCGTGATTCTCCTTGCCACTCCGCTGACCATCTCTCCCAAAACAGGGGGCACTCCCTCCTTCAGCATCACACGCGGAATCGCCATCTCCCCACGCAACCTCTGCACCCAATCCCTGCTCAACGTCCTCAGCACGCTCCCCGCCTCCCTCCGCGCCCCCGCCTCCCAGCCCCGCATCGTGATCCTCTCCTCCATCGGCCTCTCGCGCGCATCGCACGCCGCGCTCCCGCTCCTGCTCAAGCCGCTCTACGGCTACCTCCTCCGCGGCCCGCACGCGGACAAGCTCGCGATGGAGCGCGTCGTCGCGTACTGTGCGTGGCGCACGTGGGACGGCGACGAGGACGAGCTCGAGGAGGGGATTTTGCCGGAGGGGTGGAGGGAGATGGAGGGTTTGCCTGCGGAGGGGATGTTGGAGCATGTCGTGGTGGTTAGGCCGGCATTATTGACTGATGGGGAGTGTAGGGCGGAAACTGCGGGGACGGAGCCACCGTATAGGGTGGCTGATCACGATTTGGGAGATGGATATAGGGTGTCCAGGAAGGACGTTGCACACTTTATCGTGGAAGGTCTCCTGACGGATTGGCAGCAATGGGAAGGCAAATGCTTGAGCATTGCTTACTGATGCAGATGCAATCAGGACTCTATTCTCTATTCTATCTTTGCTCAAACTACAGCAATAGCTCTTATATATGATATCATACTGAGAATGAGTTTCTCGAGACACGCCCTTCTGCAGTATGTGCGCTGAGGGCTCGGGCATCAATTCTTTGCTTCGCCATTCCGCACCTCTACCTCCTGCGCCTCCCCTCCATTCCGAATGAAACGCGACAAGATCTCCACTATCGGCCTTCTCGACTCCGAGTAATTAAACTCGTTCGAATGATCAAACTCCGGGAAGAACAGTACCTCCAGCTGGTCCTTCCTCCAGCGAAACTTCACCTCGTCCGTACCGGTCAAATACTTCAGCACCTCCCGAGAATCAACAATCTGGTCGCGTCCACACAAAATGATCGCCGTCTCGCGTCCATGTAGGTCCTCCTTCCACAGCACGTTCTCTGCCCAAAAGAAATGCCGCGACAGGGCGCGCGAGATGTCCGGGTCTCGGCTCGCAAAGTACCACAGCTGCCACTCGCTCGCAGTCCGCGGTGCACGGTACACAAAGTTGTACGCGACCGGCGGGAGATAGAGCAGGAAGGGTATCGGGTCGATGAGCAGCAAGGATGTGATGCGCTTCGCGAACACAGGGTCGCGCAACATGTGCGCCGCGAGCACGGTCCCGTAGGAGTGGGCGGCAAGTACGAAGGAGGCGTGATGATGGTGCTCGAGGATGCGCGTGAGTGCTGCGAGCATCTCGGCGCGTGGGAGAGGCGACGCGGAGATGTGCATGCTGACGGAGAGGTTCTCGATGGCGATGATGCCGACGTCGGGGTCTTTGGCGATCAGCTCGAAAAGAAAGGGGGTGTAGGGCCACAGTCCGATCTAATATAATGTGAGTATGGGCAGCTATAGGTAGATACACATACGTACCCCAATGCCATGCAGAAACAGAACCGGACGCTTCGTCTTTGATCGGTGCGGCCGGTACCAGTACGCGAGATTCGCATCCGGAGAACGTCGAGAGAACAGAGAAAACCATCTTGGCGGAAAGCAGCCGAGGGGATTTTGATTGTCATAATGTTTGAACCCTCCTAATGCCAGCTGGGCAGAGGTGATAGTGTCTACGAGCCCGACAATCTGCGTGGGTAAAGTCTCGATATGCTTCAGAGGGAGCGAACGGGATGTCACTCACGGCATACCAACACAGTGGCCTATGAAGCGATACGACAGGATCGAGTGTGAGTCGCATGCACTTGACCGAGTGGCCCCAGCCATGATCCAGCTTGTTTCCGGTATGCTGCTCCAGCATCTGGATGTAAGAGTCTATCTCCTCAGCCCACTCCTCCTTGTACCCATCATGGCGAGTTCCAAAGAGTGCCCAGAGGATCCATTCTTTGATGTTCTCGCGTTTTATGGAGTCTATTGGGCAGTCAAAGAACCAGCCCGAGGCCATATTCGTCTGCGCAATGTGGATGAAACATTTCGTAAACAGCGCTTCGCGTTCAGCGCGGGATAGTCGAGGTGGATGAACAGCATCCTAAGTAGTATATGAGCATGATACCCAGTGATGTGTTGCTGTCACCACCGGACAGAATAACGCGCTCCGCCCTCCAATCACCCACCACTCACCTTCTGCATGAGCCAGCTCCTCGGCAGGTACACGAATAAGCAAAATGAGGCTTCTGCGAGCGCATATATTCCAAGCCATCTCGAGCACAGGAATCCGCCTGAGTGCCAACTGGCGAGGGTATAAACAATGCTGAGAGGCGCGACGAGGCGGAGACATGTGATGCAGGTGCGGATCTCAATGTATTCCAGGAGGGAGTTGCCAATCATTGGATCGTCTACACGGGGTCGTCGCGACCGTAGGAGAGACAGAGGTGGGCGCGGAACGGACCATGCGAAGGCCGCAGTAGCGATGGTGCATTGGGGCTCGCTGCGACGGGGGCATCACGCCGCCACACTTCCCGCCCGGTTCAATCTCCGCTCGGGCGCGCGCCGGCCGCTTCGTCGGATGCTGTGAACTTTCTTGCAACTTGTCCATCAACTCCGTCCATCCTCTGCGACCAAGTGCTTCAGGATGGCAAAGAAGAAGAATAAACAGGTCAGTGTGGGCGAGGACTGCTCCAAATAAGTTGGCTAACGTCCACCAGATCATCCGCCCCTGGTGTTGGTACTGTGAGCGGGAATTTGAAGATGAGAAGGGTGCGCGTCCACGTACACCGTCCTGCCGTAAGGCCGCTCACGACAAACTATGTCACAGTTCTAATGCAGCATCAGAAGGCGAAGCATTTCAAATGCAACCTGTGTCCCCGCCGTCTTAACACTGCAGGTGGACTCGCCGTTCACATCCAACAAGTCCACAAGCTCGAGCCTGAGAAGTAAGCCATATAAGAGCATATACCCGCTCGTCATGCTAACCTAGCATAAAGCCTTCCTCGTATCGAGAATGCCTTGCCTGGCCGCGATGGATATGAAGTGGAGATTTTCGGTATGGAGGGTATCCCGGCGCCTGACGTTGCAGACTACAAGCGCCGCAAGGAAATCGAACTCGGTTTGAACCCGGGCACGATCTCCCAGCCCCAATCCAAGCGGCCAAAGCTTGACAACCGCCCGCTCACCGAGGAAGAGCTCCGCGCGCAGCTCGAGGCGCACAAGGCGCTCATGGGTGGAGCAGAAAATGCTGCCCCTGCTGCTGCATCAGATGCCTCCGGCGCTGTCTTCGGTGCGCCCCCGCAAGCGTACTCCGCGCCCCCAATGCCGGCACCCGGATACATCCCGCCGCCATCAGCGTCGCCGGGAGTCCCGCCAGGCATGCCCCCAGGTGCGCCCCCTTTCCCTGGAGCTATTCCGCCCGCTGGTTTCCCAGGCTTCCTCCCACCGCTTGGCATGCCGGGGCCTCCTCCTGGGTGAGTATACGTGCCCGTTGAGTAATTGCCCTCTTTCTGACGGCTCCGATAGCATGAGCCCTCCACCAGGCTTCCCATACCCGCCGCCCTTCCAAGGATCTCCACCACCCGGCATGCCAATGCCAGGTGGCCTGCCTTTCCCTCCTGGCATGCGCCCGCCCTTCCCGCCTCCACCTTTCTTGCCTCCAGGTGTCTCGCCGCCCGGAATGTCGCCATCGCCCGGTGGCATGTTCCCTCCTGGCTTGCCTCCGACTCCTTTACCTCCTGGTGCATCCCCGCCACCGCCTGCCGTAACAGGTCAACCTGCGTCGCTGCCTCCTGCTCCAGGCCAGCCTGTTCCTCCGTTTGGGGCTCCCGCTGCGCCTGCTCCTGTACCACATGCTGCTGCTAGCCCGGCGCAACCGGCGCCGCCACCAGAAGCGCCAGTTCCTAAGGTCATCCCGCAGCTCACTTTGCCTGATCCTAACCTCGCGCAGACGAACCCGCCGTTCAAAAAGCCGACGGTGCTCAAGTGGACGGATCCGAACTTTTCTCCAGTCAGTGCTTGCTTGTCAATGATAATGCGGTTAAACTAATGAGTATCCACTCCAGGAGGAACACCGTGCCCTGCATCCTCAGTACTACTTTGCGAAAGACAACAAGGAGAACGCTATTGGGAGCCACGGACAAGTGGCGGGTGTTCCTGCGCAGGAAGAGTCGAGAGGCAAGAAGCGGGCGAGAGCGGAGGATTTCTTGTAGAGCGTCGTCAGGTCGTATATTCTTTTCTCTCCTTGTGACCATCATATCTGCGCAGACCGTTTCACATCGTTGACGGAGATAGTGAAAGAGGAAGAGGAGAAGTGAGGAGAGGATGAGGCGCAGGCACCGGAGGCTCATCAGTCCGTCCCTCCATCATGCTCCTTCCGTGTCGTTCGGTAGTGCTCATTGCCCCCGCGTGTTCGAGGGATAGAGATCGGACCGTCGCACTGAAACGCGGTACGAAGTCTCCCGTCTCTGTTTTCTTCTGTCTTGGCCGGTTTCGTTTGCTAGCTGTGCTTGCATGTGTACGGTTGGTGTGCTTCTTTTTGTTCTGTCGTATAATATGCGTTCTTGTGGTTGGTAGCGCGAGCGAGAGAGGTGTGTGGTTGTCGTCGTTGGCGTGTACTCACCTGCAGGGGTAGTGGTGCGCGGGAAGCGGCGAGGTGTGCTGGTTGGACGTGAATGTTCGTGCTTTCAGTGGATGGCAGTGCGTGTCGCGGACTGACTGGACGTGCAGTGCAGCAGGTGATTGGATCGTGAGAGCGAGTAAGTGGTGGTCTGTTTTCCCTCTTGTGCACGCGTTGTTCGGATGGGGTAAGTCAGAAGATAGTAAGTGTGGTGTATCATCTGTTCTGCGCGCATACGGACGGGAATTTGACTCTGGTACCGAAAACATGCGGCGGAGTGTGCAGCTATGATTTGCATGGCACGTTCGTGCTCTCACTGATCGGCAGTAGGTATCGCGGACTGACTGGTCGTGCAGCAGGTCATGGGGTGCTGACGCGGTGAGTACTTGAGTCGTAAGAGCGAGTAAGTCAGTTGTCTATTGTGTGTTTGCGTGCCGTCGGAATGTTCAAATGGGTAAGTCGGAAGGGATGCCATTTGCTCTGCGGCCTGGTAGTTCCTCGAACGGGAATGTGACCATACATGTACATCGATACTTGTGTTTCTCGCACGTCATCAAGCAGTGAATCGCTCAATGCCCTCCAACCCAAGCCATCCATCCATCTTCTCCCACACCGCGCGCTGCTCCGCGCACCACTCCTCTCTCTTCTGCACGACACACTCCTGGCACACGCCGCGCGCGGCCCAGTCGATATCGATGATGGTCTGGAGGGTCTCGAGGGGGCGGCAGAGCCCGTCGGCGGCGAGGGCGGGGGCGATGACTCGGGGCATCCAGGCCTCAGCGAGGGCGTCGGTGCAGGGCATGTGGGAGGCGGTGGGGACGGTGAAGAGGACGGGGGTGAAGTGGGAGAGGAGGGAGGCGAGGAGGGATTGGCAGCGCGTGGTGAGGGTGGGGGAGAGGGTGAGGTGCGGGGCGGAGGCTGGTGCGGGGTCTGAGGGGGAGGGAGGATCTGGGTGGGTGTGGGCAGAGGAGATGGTGGGGGGCTCGTCGTGCTCGAGGTGGGTGTGGGTGGCGACGGTGTAGAATAGGATTTTCTGTATCTATCGGGTGGACGGCGGTCAGTGCGAATGAGGAGGGGCACGGAGGACTTACTGGATAGACGTCGTACTCGACCGCGAGCGTGAGCGCGTCGTCTGGCCGGTCGGTCTCGAAGAAGGGCACGGGAGAGGTGGGGAAGAGGGCCTCGAGGCGGTGGCGCGCGAGGGAGTGGATGGAGGGGAGGTCGAGTTGCTGGGCGGAGGAGGCGCGGAGGACGGAGGCGATGCGGGGGAAGGGCGAGTCTGTGTCTAGTGGGCTTGGAGGGGGTCAGCTGACGTGCGCGGCAGGATAGGCGTGGTAGGCTCACGCGTCGTGGTAGAGGTGCTCGAGGAGGGCCTCGAGGTCTGCGCTGGATACGCCGCGTTCCTCTGGGATGCGGACGACAGGCGAGCCGTCGAGTGAATCGTCCGCTGCTAGGGAGGCGATGAAGGGTGAGTGACGCGCGAGGAGGGTGCGGTGGACTTTGTACGCGTCGGTGCCTGTGCTTGTGCGGAGGACGAGGGAGCCGTCGTCGAGCCAGAAGCGGGGGTGGCGCTGGGGTGCGTCGGTGGAGGGTATCATGGCGGAGGGGGAGGCAGGCGATACCGGTGAGATCGTCGATCTCTCGGTCAGCGTGAGTGCGATCGATGTGGGCGAGCTGATTGGCTGGGTTGGTCGGTGGCCGGGTGAGGACAGATACTGCGATTTGATTTCGCGACCTGATATGAACGCCTCCTCCTGAACTATACACACTCGTTGGCACCTCCCGTTGCGGACCGCTGGCTGCCTCCCTCCTCCAAATGCCGCAGACCTCCAAGTTCGGCGTGGCTAGCGTAGCGCGGTCCTACAAGACCATTCGAGCAGTGCATACGTTCCGGCGCCCCTCACGACTCCGTACACACATTGATTACACGAGTTGTGATGTTCCATATTAGATCCCTTGGACTCGCGATTTGTCCATGTCAGTCCCACGGCACAACGCTCTTACGTTCGGCCCACGCTGCCATCTCTGGAAGACGGGAACCTCGTATCAGGCAGACTTCCATCCTTATTTGAACACCTTTGTAATTTTTTCTTGCTGAACTCTGGCGAAAGGTTCTCCAACGATGAATATTGAGCGCTTTTCCTTTAAAAGAAGCAAGATGACTATAATATGCTTAGACCAAGACTTTTCCAGTGAGTAAAGGAGTGGTTTTGCTGGGGAACCCCTCGCTCTGTGGCTTATTCGGCACAGCACTCACATCTTCTGAGGATTGAATATTGAAGTTTGAAGAGCTAGGAAGACTCAAACTCGTGTCATCGAGCGTGCGCCCATCATTAATTTGTTCCTTGGCGGCCATAGTCAGCGCGCAATTCATCGGTTTCCGAAAACCTTCGAGCAGTGCCTCCCCTCTCTGACCTCTCGATATCCCTCGACTCCGTGGAAGGCGCATCCGTCGTATTACACAGGCTTCCATTATACTTAATTTCAACGCTTTCGTACCTTCTTCTTACTGAACTCGGGCGAAACGCTCTTCAAATTGGCCAACATCGAGCGCTTTGCCATTAGAAGATGCAAGATGTGCTCAGACCGGTATATCAACACTTTAGTGAGTCCTCCTCTACCTTGTAAAGGAAGGATTCTGCTGCGGAACGCGCACGCTCTGTGGCTTATTCGGCACAATCCTCGCATCTTTTGGGGATTCGAGTTTGAGGCTTGAAGGCAAGAAGGCTCAAACTCGTGTCATTGAGCGCGCGGCAACAATCAGCGTGCGATTCATCGGTTTTCGAAGAATCTTAAAGCGATGCCTCCCCGCTCTCGGCTCCTTTCTTAGCCCTCGACTTCCGTCGACTCCGCCCTACTATAGGTCACCTCCGACAGTTCACGTCGCCTCTACCACAGCAATACCACTAGCCTAAGGCTATCGTCATAGGTGCGTAGTATCTCACCGACACTCGCTCGGCCGACTGAGTGAGCTCGTCCACTCTAGTTCATGGGCGCTGCCGTGTCGATAGTTGTTGCTCTTGCAGGAGCCGTCGGCAGTATCATTAACATCGTCAACGCGATTCGCTCTTCCGCCGCGTCTGGAGGGATTGCGCCCAACCCGGTCATGAAGGAGCTTGAGGACCGCGCAAAGAGGGAAAAGGAGAGGGCTGAGGAGGCCGAAAGAGCGAGAAAGCACGCAGAGGATGCGAAGCGCAAGGCGGAGGAAAGTGCGCGAAAGAATGAAGAGGAAAGGCGTAAAGCGGAGGACGCGAAATGCAAGGCGGAGGAAAACGCGCGATGGAATGAAGAGGAAAAGCGCAACGCGGAGGACGCGAAGCGCAACGCGGAAGAGCAGCGCAAAAAGGCGCAAGAGGAACAGAAGAAGACCGAGGAAGAGCGGAAGAAAGCAGAGGAGGATAAGAAAGCAGCCGAGCAGGCGAAAAGGCGCGCAGAGGAGGCGACGAAGAAGGCGGAGGAGGACAAGGCCGCGGCAGAAGAGCAAGCCCGTCTGCTGAACGAGCAGATCAGAGAGATACAGAAGGGCATCGCGGAGGGCATCAAGCCCATCATTAGCCCAACCCTGGAGGAGATCCTCGAGACGAAGGCGCGTATCGAGTATAAGGACGGCATATTCCACTTTGCTGTCGCTGGCGTCTCTGGTAGCGGCAAGTCCTCGCTGATCAACGCCCTGCGCGGTGTGAAGAATAGAAAGCGTGGTGCAGCGCCTGCTGGTGTGACCGAGACGACGAAGACGATCACTCGTTATCCTGATCCCGACCGCCGCAACCCATTTGCGTGGTACGATGTCCCCGGTGCCGGAACCCTCGAAATCCCAGACTTCATCTATTTCAAAGCGCAGGGCCTGTACGCCTTCGATTGCATCATTGTTGTTCTCAATGATCGCTTCACGGACACCGACATCGCGATTCTGCGCAACTGCGCGCGCTTTAACATCCCGAGCTATATCGTCCGCTCAAAGTCTCTCAACCACATTGACAACCTGGTGGACGACATGCCATCAGACGATGACGAGGATGATGACGAGGATGATGACAGCGAGGACGAGGCCACCGAGGACAAGGCTGCAAAGTGGGCCATGGCGCGAGCGCAGTACGAACGAGTGAGCCGCAAGAGCGTCGCAGACAACCTCAAGAAGGCCGGGCTCGCCGAACAACGGCTATACCTCGTGGACAAGCGCACGATGATTCGGGTTCGCAAAGGCCGCCGGCTGGCGGAGGCAAAGGTGATTGATGAGGTGGATCTATTGAAGGACCTCCTCACTGGGGCATACTCTCGACGCACCGCGTCGTCCTCTGCTAGAGGTTGACTGGTTGCATTGTGAGTGTGCATCTGGGCGGTCGGTATCTCGTCTGCTACCTATTTTGGCTGCTGTTTCGCCCCATATTTTCTTCGCCATTCCAAGCGTAAGTTGGTCGTGGTTTGTATTCATCGCAGTCTGCTCTGACGTTCGCGCTTGTGGACATGTATGCTGCGTCGCGAGGTGCCTGTCCGCATTCACGTGCGGTGAGAGTGTAGACATTACAGTTCTTGTTTTTGCTTTCGTTTTTGTTTGCCCGAGACCAAGCATTGAATGAAGAATCAGATTCCCACCGTGCCCCATGTTAGAGGCTGATTCTACTCATCCTTAGCGTTGGCGATGTCAAGTCTATCTCTTGAACTCTGCATTTTCCTGAAGCTTGGTCTGTTCTGATTCCCTGGTAATTGAGTGAAATGTGATCGACCGGGCTCGCCGGGCTTGTGATAGAAGCGCCTGAGTCCTCTTGCGGTTATGATTCTATAGTCACACAATCAACACCTAATTGAACGCGGAAACACTTTTGAACCATATCGTGTCTCGCGTTGGACGACAGCGTCGTTCAACTGCTGCATCAAGCACTCTGCACCCACACTGGGCAATGGGCATGATCAAGGTTGACGTTGACCCTGTACGTACTTTCGCATACGCACTTGAGACTGTAAATCGATTAGTCCCCCATCTGTTTGTCATGGCACCTTGACACATGCTTTCGTTCTTGACGACCTATGCCCTAGCAATGCCCTTGTTGGTGGAAAGGTAGATGCCGGCACAACATGCAAGCAGAGGACACAGAACGAGGACCAAGCTCGTGGGATCCGACTGATGTGACGGATACACTGGAAGGGCCATCACACTTTCATGAACACCGTGGACGTCAGTTGACGTCTGGAAGTCGAGCCCTAGGTCCTACGATCTCATGTACGATCCATTCGTATGCAGTATCCATTTGTCAATACCGGAGGGTGGAATCTTTTCGTCCCCCTGTTGATTCGTAAACAAGGCTGATTGTGCATTGTTCCTGTCCAGGAAGTGGCCGTTGGTCAGGACTCGCTTCCCATGCTCCGTAGCGCCCCATTTGCCCTTCCATGCTATCCTGCACAAGACGTTGATGAACCGGATGGTGCGACCAACCTATTTCTGGAACTGCCAATGCACCAGGCCACTCAGTCTCGGAGTCTCTATGCCGCCAACGTCACGCATTCACTCCGTCCATCATCTTGCGTCATGCAATACTAGGATCGCTTCTTCTGATTCTAGCTTTCGTCGAGGCAAGCCGTGGAGGGCATATGATCACTCAGGTGTATGTTCTCGCTCTTCACGTTAACCGCACGTGCGGCGTGCTGTCTCCCTGATCCCAACGTCAGCACGCAGATCGGCCAGTAATTGAAGGAAACCAGAACAGTCGGCCATGCGCTTATGTGCCGTATCATCTCCGGACTTCCGCAGCCAGAGAACTTGCGCGTGGTGGAAACCAGGTTCCTCGGGCAGTATACCGCGCACGCCGATCAGACTGTTTCCGCGAACCTGTCGAGGCGAGCGATGTAGGGCATGTGACACGCGCTCCCTTGATCTAAACCCGCACTTCACGCTAGCCGCCGTTCCTTAAGCTTCAAAGCTTCACTGTACCTAGGTGATGCGAGAAAAGTACGTCGGATAGAACGTTCGACATGGGTCTGCTGGCTCTCATGCCCTCGGTCTTCGGCGTCGTTGCTGAAAGGGCCTGACTCGGACGACTCACATGCTCCTCGTAGCTCCGGGCTTTCGTACGCGCAACGTTCTGTGATACCCACCCAATCCCCAACATTCAATCCCAATAACCGGGCTGGTCAACTTCCACGTCACGCTCACAAATAACAAACACACAGGACTCACAGGAACAGCTCCCGATCTCTGCGTGACAATACGATACGATAATCGATGCGGGAGATCCGACGCAGATGACCACGCACCCGCCCGCCGGCAACGCAACGCACGCATCCTTAGTCAGACCCAGTCATCCCCGGTGGCCCGCGCGCCTAATCCTGACGTGCAAATGCCGACGGCGGGATCTCTGTCATACGACGAATCCCACTCCAGTTCCGTGCGCACGCGTTGTTATTTCATCATCAGATTGTGACTAGGATAATGGCTGACTGTGCATGCGATGACCATGGGCCACATCAGCAGCACGCAGACAGCCGTGAACTCCACGGCAGCGGACGGGAAGTGCTGACGATTCTGGATGACTGTAAGCGCTCTCCCGGACGCTTACATCAGCACCCGTGGCCCGTTCTTCCCATTTCTTCCCGAACATCCCGATCCCACGATTCCGCATCGTCCTCGACCGTCGGGCACGGCGCATCCCAAACGCCGGCCGCCGCATCGCGTCGCGTACGACGGCCGAAGGGGAAGCAGAAAAAATTCACCATGCAATTCGGAGACAATGCAGCCCGGAGATGAGGAGCATATGGCAGGCACTTTTTGTTTCGTTGTGCCGCATCAGAATCCGGGCTCGGAAGATGAGAGCAAGACCGATGGTGGATTCGCACCACGTATACGATACGTACACACAATGACGAGGACTGGACAAGACACGCGGTAACCCAAGAGTTTGTGGTAATACATTGCATGAGAAGTGGGTCATGAAGGAGATCGTAACGAACAACAACAATGCGATGACAGATACAAAGGAACAATGAATTGCTAACCGGGATATACGTGTTATGAGAGCGATTAGTAAAACGAAGAGTGTTAGGTTATGATAAAGTAGTCTATTCCATGCCTATCGCGAACAACCGACCGCGAGCAACGGCCCCAGTGCGGCTGGCTGTGACGAAATATTTTGACTTTAATTGATGCGCGGGATGGTTATACGAGCACCTGTTGCGCATACGTCGCTGAGGGCACCGCGATCGACGGAGGCTGCATTGGCCTGCACCCGCGCGCATGCGGATGCGAATGAGCGTGTGCGAGCGGCTGCGGCGGTGCCGGTTGCGACGAGCGCGAGTGGAAATATGGAATGGGAAACGAGTGAAGGAGTTGCAGCGCCGACGCCATGCGCTGATGGCGGTGCTGCGATGAAGGCCGTTGTGACGGCTGCTCGCATGGGGGATGATGATGATGATGATGTTGTTGTTGCATCGCATCGTGCGGGGTATATACCGCATCGCCGTGTGTCTGGATGACGTGGGCTGGCGATGGCGTCGGGAGAACGATGAACTGCGGCGCAGGCACAGGCACAGAGTCGAGCGCAGCGGGCTTGATGGGCTCTGCTGCGAGTGGTGCAGAGTCCGCAGGCGTGCGCGGTGATGAGATCGGCTCGGAGGACACGTCCGAATCGACGTCCATTTCGATTTCGCTCGAGTCGATGCTCCAGCGGGAGCCTGACGGCGAGCGCGCGATGCGAACGGGTGGGATGACGGGCTCGGTGTGCGAGCGGACGTGATGTTGTGGCCGCGAGAAGGCCATGATGGTAGAATGATGTGCGAGGACGTCAGCCTCGGTGAAGCCGAGCTCAAAGCTGAGGACGTCGAGAAACTCGCGTTCTATCCGGCCAATGTCCCTCTTGCCGAACACGCCCGTGCAGAGAGCCCAATGGATGTTCTTTAATGTGGAATCGTTCGCATACTGTGAAGGAGCATGTGAGCATAAAGTATATAAGCAAAGAACAATGACACGTACCTTGTTCGCGACGATGAGCGCGCCGAGGAATACTCGCTCGCATGCCCACTGCTCGAGAGCGATCTGAAGATGTGGCTTTGCCCTCTGAATGTATACGAGGGTAACTAGGAGTGCTGGGACTTTGATTTCCGCCTTGTGGATGACGTCGGCGACAAAGTCTGTAAACTGGATGTGCTCCGAGCGGCGGGAGAGCGAGCGGCCACGCGAGGACGACGGACGTCCGAGCGCATAGTCCACTGTCTCTACGACATTGTCAACGATGTACTCTGCAAACAATGTCAGCAAACGCCAAAGCCAAGTGAATCCGAGGAGACTTACCAATCAGATTTCGCGAAAGGTCGACCTTGATGAGTTGGAGTGTGGCGGGGTTGTGGAGAGAGGGGTCTACGAGGGACGCCAGATGGACTGGCGTCAGGGCGGGAGAGCCGGCTGCGACCATGGCGGGGGAGTGCAAGAGGCGGGAGGGAATGATGGCGGGAGAGATAGTGAGGGCGTCGGAGACATGGCTTGGGATTATATAGAGGAGGGCGTGCGGGCGGACGAAGGGAGTCGGCGAGGAATGGATCTAGATGAGATGACAAGCGCTCGGATGAGTAGACGCAGCGCGTCGGCGATCCACCCACCGAACAGCCGCCCGTCTCCCGCATCTGTCCATCCAATCGGCATCCTTCCCTGCGTCCCATTTCCGAGCAGTGGCACCCGTCACACACGTCACATTTACTCATCGTGTCACGCGCGCCCCATGAATTCGGAATCACCGATATTTTCGGTACATGTTGCCCTCGAATCAGCCTGCATTAATTCGTAGTGGCCACCCGGGTTGGTCCTCGCGCATCGTCATTCGCCGTCTCCAGCTTCCATCGGGCCCGACATGCATCGGGGCGCGGCCACGTGCGCGTATTCGTGCCGAGCGCGGCAGCCACTCCGACGCAGCGCGCCACCCGCTCGTGCGCGGCCACTCTGATCGCACGCCGTCGTTCGTTCTCCGAGTGTGCGGGCGCGGCTTGTGCGGTCTCGCATATCCGCGCCTGCGGGTATGCCGAGCTGCATTATATCTCGCGGTCCCATGAATCGCTCTCCTCGGCTGCGCGTCGACGAGGCGCACAGCAATGACACCATTAACCATGTACAGGGACCCCTCTTGTGACTCTGCTCGACACGTATACTCGCATCTTCGGCCCGCGGTGCCAGGTAAGCGCAGCGCGCACGGTCAGTGACAATAGCTGCACGTACGCCCGCTTACTCTGCCATCAAGCGCATCCGCTCCCATCGCCCTGCAGCCTCGCCACTGCGCGATCCCTTGGTCCCGCTCTGCCCAGTCTCTTGCACATTCGCCCAGCAAGGGTCAACGTCTCGATTGATGCAGCCTATCACATCAAACATCCTGAGAATGACTCTTCCGCGACGTGACTTCCAAGCATCATTGCCACTCGAGCGCCTTGTTTCGTATGACCTGACGCAGATGCACCGTTGCAATCGCACGCGCGCCCTCGCCCGAAACCAGACGACGCACCGCCACCCGCCGTACGAACTCGCGCCATCACGGTGATTCCTGCGCCGGTGCACCCGCATTCCTCCTCGTCTCCATCGTGACCAAATCTGACTCTGCAGCGGCGGTCACATCAGCTTGCATTTGTAGCTACCAACCCACGCCGAGCTGCGACTCCTCGGCGGATGTGCATCAGCAACGCCGCCTGCCGCTCGCACTCAGGATACCCATCTATTGCCGATGTCAGGGGCCTCCGAGGCGAAATGTTTCCACGCCGGTGGTACGCCCGCCCGAGTGCCAATAGTGCCAAAACAGGTTTTAGCGTCGGGCTTATGCACCTTGCGTCCCTTTGATTGATTTGATGCATTGCGGTCACCGTCACGCATCGCGATTAATTCATATGTGTTATATAAGCGTCAATGATGCTTGATGAGCGGCTCTCAGCAGTCCTAGTCATTACGCGATATGCGTCAGCGGAATCCGACCATGCGCATCAGGGGCCACTCGGCAGGCTTACTCATCTTGAGGGTTGTATCCCATCAACGGACTCATCTTATTGGTCACTCGCATCGCTGACGTTCTTGCCCCGCCGCCAAGCTCAGCTCGCCAGGGTTACATGTGTGTGTATATGGCATAGCTGCCATATGCGTCGTGCGCCCATCGGCAACTAATCCTGGGCCTACCTCGATTCTCGGCGGCCACGACCTTACATCCTCGGAATCACCGCCCCAAAGCGTTTCTTGCAAATGGGGCTGCGTCCTCCGACCCCACTTGCCCTACATGCCCGAGGACAAGTGTATTTGTGGAGGATCGACGTTCGGCCCTGTGCATTAGCCGCAGCAACACAGGAAAGACAGATACTGCTACTAGTAGCGGTATACGGCTCCACATTTAGAAGGTTATCTATTATTATACACCATCATTGATGATTAGGACTTCATGATGATCAGCATACATGCATAGCAAGACAAATATAACCCCGCCCATACATAGCACTCGCATATGTATTGACATGTACCCTCCGAGCCGCTACGCAAAACTACGTCATCATCATCTCATATAAACATCGCAGACCGTACTTGACAGCAGGACAAAGAACCACCCATCGCGCGAACTCCTCAAAACTATGAGGCGCTCACGCTGTTGAGCCTGCGGGAGCAGACGCAGAGGCAGGCGCAGGCGTGCCACCGGCACCAGCAGTCTCCTTGCCCTTTTTGTTCGTCTTGCTGCCCTTCGGCCTTCCTCTCGGCCGCTTCTGCACGGGCTGGCCATCGACGCTTGCTTCCTCCGTGACACGCTTGTTCGGCGCACTCGCCATCTTCTCCGCCTGCAGCCGCAGCTCCTTCAGGTACCTACAATACCCGTGAGACCTAAGCAGCCGCGGGACGGAGCCGAGCGTGAATGAATGACTGACTGCGCGGACTTTTCCTCGAGCGTGCTCTGCAGACTCGGCAACGGCGGCTGACCTAGCTCCTGCCGCAGCCTATCAACATCTGCCTTCGCACTGGCGTAGTCCCCGTCGGTGATAGCTTGGATCTTCTGGCGTAGGTCCGTACACCTGCAAGGAACACATCAGCATGCCTGCAAGGCACCACCGGACCTCATCCCATCGGGGATCGCACAAGGTTCGACCGTGGGAGCGCCCAGGATGCGATGGGATGATCTAGAGGCAAGAATAGAACTGTGGCGACACGCACTCTTTACTGAGCGTCACCTCCAGAATATCCGTCTGGCGGATCGGGTCAGACACGCGGGAGTAGATAGCGAGCGAGCACGTCTGCGTACTTTGTCCCGATCTTCGTTTACCTGCGAGGCGTGGCGGACGGATGCCGAAGGCGCGCAGATGTCATGATGATTTTCAATTTGGTGAAACCAGGAGAGGGGGCAAGCGTACCTCTCGCAGGCAATTGAGCAGCCTCGACCGCTCGCTTTCGAGTCTATTTGCAATGCATGATGAGTGTGTGAGGATAGAAAGGATGGGTGGGGGCGCCGCTCAACTTGTTCTTTTGCTCTTTGAGGTCCTGAATGGCCTTGCTCTTCTGATCTAGCGATGCATGGGCAGAGAGGATGTGGGCAGTATGTAGCTGTAGCGTGAGGGCATGTTTTCTGCAGCGCAGATGTAGTTAGATGTGCCTGCATATAGCCAATGACAGGAACATTGAAGACGCCGGAATACGGTCAGGACAACCCCCAGTGGGGATCGGCGGGGAGAGAACGAGCGAGAATCGGGCAGGGTGGGCAGAGATGACAAACGATGGGACGGAAAAGGGATTCGAGAGGATGCTGCGCCAGAATCGCGCATACACGCATCAAAGACGGCGAGAACGACGACACGCAGCACACCGACGAGCAGAAACACGAACTTTAGCTCGGCAGTCTTCGCGAGGTGGACGAGGTTTTTGGTCCAGTCGCCGGTGGCGAGGAGAGGCGTACTGTTAGAGACGGAGGACGACGAGGATGATGCTGCCGCGCCGGACGCCATTGCACGTTGGATTTCGTCGGGATGCGCGGCGAGGGTGTTTGGGGTGTCTGCGCACCGCCGGGCCTCCGGGCACTGCGACCCCCGCAATCTGCGCAGCTCTCACGCCTTTTCATTGGTTCGGCCATTTGCGAGCTCGCTGGGAATGGCAACTCCTCTTCGATCGAGATCAGTCTCAGTGGCCACACCTGACGATCTTCTCGACTGGTCGTAATCTCTGCATCATTTTACTTGACTCGGTTTATGATCCAAATGCATGCACAGCATGTGCATGTCTTATTATTTTCAGGAAAAAACCCATCTATCCACAACGGTGAATAGAATTCCTGCATTAGACTTGAGGAATATCTGAGACCAGTAACATTTATAACTGATGCTCAGACGTTACCACTGGGTTAGTTGACCCAATTCAATGACCGTCAATATCAACTCACATTCTTAATCGCAATTTCATCCGCTCCGTAGACGCAGTGTCTACGCAAGCCGAATCTCTACGAGCCGGAACAACATGGAACTCAGCCTGTATATGCTCCGGTTGGCGAAGGACATCATGGCTCTGTCTCAGATCGATAATCCAGTCAATCTGATGCACAAACTATGCCCGACATCGACCAGTTAGGGCCAGCGGGCATCTAGAACGTCGTATCTTCTCACCTGAAGGCTCTGGACAGATGAACAAAGGCGTTGACGGACGCTGTACATAGCTTCTCGGACGAACTAGAAGTTGCGGAATGCTTCCTGATGTCCTCCGGATGGCTCGGAAGTAGAGCGCCCCGACTCGTCGCCGACGGCGGTGCGTGCTCCACATCTTATCGCTGACTCCTTTGCGCGTCGGGCACCCGATATGCCTAACGGAAGCAGATGATCGCCTTGCCCAGTCCGACGTCGGAAACGGAGAGCACGCGGGCGACCTACAATCAAGACGGTCATAACCCGACGGGATGAAGAGCACCCACAAGGTTGGTATATGCACAAGCCGTGACAATCGAAATGAAACGAGCACTTTGCGTGTTAATCGGAGAATAAATACGCTAACACGCGCCTGTCCAGTATATGGTACATACATGCATAGTGCGAATAGTGGTACTTCAAAGTCAAGGTATGTATATCCTGGAGTACCCTTCAACACTGCAAACCAGCATTTTATCAGTTCCACCGACGCGACAGCTAAGCGAGAGGCAGTACGCACCTGCGACGACAGCATGGGCAGCTATGCTTAGAAGCAGACGAACGCGACGCCAAGTTTTCCCTGCAGTCGTTGCATAGCGCGAGGCACCTAGTACACATCATCGCCACTGAATCGCTTCCTAGATGTGTCGCACTTACCGACAAGGCCAGCAGATGATGTCTCTCGGCTCAGCCGTGCAGACGACACAGTTTTGCCTCGCTTCCGCCGCGCCATCCTCCCGCACTGAGCTCTTCACTCCTCTTTGCTCGCGCACGAACGCCTGCCATTCGTCCTCCACGTCTTCGGCTGTGCCCCGCTCGGAAACTAGCCTGTTGTATCGACGCCGCGTGAGCGTGGATGCAGAGGTCATGTGTGCGAGCAGTAGCGGCGCCGACGTCGACGTCGCGACATCCTGCGAGAGGTCTGCATACAGACGTACAGTCTCCTCGTCCTCGCCGTCATCCTCGTCTTCTGATGGAGTGGACGGCACATTGTCGGCTTGCATAGGGTCCTCGTACTCCTCATCATCGTCGCTGAGAGGCTCTCCGCGCAGAAAGCGCCGGTACAGCTCTGCATCCTCGAGTTCGTCGTCATCTATATGGTCAGGGACCGCATAGATCGGCTCGCGAGGTGCAGCAGGCCGTTCAACATATGCAACTGCCCCAGGGTTCAGCTTAGTCCGGACGTATGCGTAGAGCCTGTTCGTCAGGCGCCGCGTCGTTTTGAATGCAGTAATCAAGAACATGGCGAATGCCTTGAACCAGCTTGCGTTCACCATGGTGTCCGCCCAGAGGTCGGCTCGCTGCGCCTGCGCCTTGACATGAGTGATCTCGTTCGCAAATCCTCGCTTGCGGATCCTCTGCTGCCCTTGCCGATCGTAAGCAGGTATGAGGGAGACTACACCGGAACGATCGATCTCGACAACGCCGCGGTCGTCAGAGGTGAAGCGGACGAGACCCGTGCCATCCGCGCTGGTCACGCCACCGACTTCGTTGCCCATCCCTGCCGCGCTGGTCGCCTCTAAGCTCGCCGTTCCTAGTCGGATGAGCGCAACCCCAAAGTCCTCGTCTAGCTTTGGCATCAGCGTCTCGGCGTGGCCAAAGAGCGGCCTCGTGATCGCGCCTTCGAGAATCAACTGAGTGAGGACATTGAGAGAGGCAGAAAAGATAACGGTCACGCAGAGCATGGACTCGACTACGCAGGGGAAGAAGTTGGTGAGAGGATAGGACGAAGGTGAGGTCCAGACGACAGAGTGGAAGTGGACAAGATTGAGAAGTGAGCAGATTGATGTAGGGATGAGCCGCAAGCGGCCCCACCTCTTCTTCACTTCGAGACAGTGGAGCAGTGTAAGCTGTACATACGTTAGCCACATCGGCTACGTACGGTGTGTATCTGCGTACCTGCAGAAGTGGGATCAACATAGTTATGATGACATGTTTGTTCGGTCTCGACGGAGCGCCTTGCACTTTGTCGGTGTGGGTGGATGACGAGGCATAGATATGCAGTTGGAACGCGAACGAAAACTAAGGTAAGGTGAGCTTAGAGCGTTGTCAGTGGCCAAGCTTGCAGTGACTAACCAGGTTGAATGGCGCATTGTGGTTAAGATGCAGCCCTTCCAGCCCACTTGTGAGAGCACCAATGGCGAGCGCGATGCAAGTAGATGTGAACGTATGCCAACATATATCCTCCATCTCCTTCTGCGCTACCCACTTGCCAACCGCCTGTACTGGCCCCCACTGCCATGACGGATAGAGCTGCGATGCTTGCAGGAGCAACACAAACCAGACGAAGAGGGATTTGAGAAGGAGATAGATGGACGGGATACGGAATAGCGTCCTGGAAGACGTGGAGGACAGATCAACTGGGAAGAAGAGGCCAAGAACAGCCCTATTGAAGGGCCAGCGGCCACGGCCACGACCGTGACCGCGATAATGATGGACAGCGTGGAGCCGCACAGCCAGCGGGTTGCGAGGAGGCACGACGATGTTGTGAATCCGATTTAGAACGAGAGCCTAACAAATCTGAGAGCCCGTCTAGAGGAGTCTGGCATGATTTGCCTCACCATAACGAACAAGCCGAAGAAATAGCCAGAAGTGATGAAACCAAGAGGACCGGGCATGGGTGTGATGGCATTGATGAGGCCTACGGAAGGCTGGTCGACTCCGGGACTGCGAGCACGGCCAGCAGATACATCGGCGAGGGCACGGTTCCGCGCGACCGATTCTGGGTTGATTTGGTTGAGGATGTCATCGAGCCTGCGTATCCGAGCGAGAGTACGAGATGGGATTCCGAGAATATGAGAAGCGACCTTTACAGTAGCGTTGTACAGCCTTGATCGCTCTGTGCCGGCATTGATTGAGGTGGTGGGGTCCATCTTCAGTGCAGCATGAACGGGGAGAACAGTGGAATCTAGAGGGGAGGCTCGTCGTCCTCGGTGGACATGACGAGTTGGGACACAAGTCCGTACTGGTCATAAGCGCCCATTCTAGCCGGGTCGTACGGTCATTTACTACGCTGATCGACCTTTTGATCCGAACTCGACGACTGCCGACCACTCTCATACAAATATGTTGTTAACTAATCCGTGAGTTCCGCATCTGCGCTGACTGTGTAGCTGCATCGAGTAAATCGTCACACATCGAGTCCCTCGTCGGTGGCGATGTCTTGCTGAACATCGACTCCCCGCGAGTCCATCGGGCACGCGATTTGCACAAAGCAAGTAGGGATATACCGAGGCTGATACACCATCTATGCAATTTTGACAGTCTATCGTGGTCGACAACAACGACGTGACCAACGCATACATGAAGACACCGGAACCATGCCAGAAACAGGGTCAGCGCATATCGTGTGCGAGCAGTTGCGTGTACTTACCTTCGCATATAGGGAATCAACCACCTTCCCGACTTGCTCGAGAGTGTCAATAGCAGCACCATATGTATTCTGAATCGGAATCAAATGCGTTCAGCATGTACGCAGATTGGATAATAAGGTCCTTACATCCGCCTCCGATTCACTGAATACAATCAGGCAACCGCGGCCCTGATCCAGCACTCCGTGGAAGACCTTATCCAGGATCATCTGTGAGAGCCTGCGAAAAGGATCGGTGTCGTCAGCGTTGCATTTAGTGATACATCAAAGAGCGGGCCGAGAATGACATACTTGACCTCGACAGCTTGCCTGCCCTGCTCGACTTGCTTCGCTACGTAGTCCAGCTCAACCACAGAATACGGCTCAACGATCCGGAGGAGATTCTGCTCAAGGAGCTTGTCATACAACTCTGCAAGGTGTGTACGGATCGTTGGGTCGGAGGATAGTTCTGAGTGCGGCCACGTTAAGATGAAATCAAACTGTCAGTTGCTAGAGGCAGCTTACCGTGTTGATAGTCCTTTAGTGCCTTCTCAAACTCGGCCAGGTTTCGTTGCTGATGTGCACGAGCGATAGCGCGCATACTCTCCACATCTCTTAACTGTGCATATTTCGATGCCAGCTTGATTGAAAGCAACGATGTAACGTCTTCTGGCTATCAACCATTTCAGCAGGCCGAACGTTTTATCCATGTCTCCTGTAACGTACCAAATTGAGCATGATTTTACACAGCAACATATACTTGAGTGCCGAGAGAGCATCTGGGTCGCCTTGCGTACTCAGGTTCTCGAACGTTTCGAAAAAGTACGAGTATGCGGTCGTATAGTCCTTGTCTTCCGCATGGAGGATACCAGACTGCATGTCAAGACGTGCTTGCAAGTGTGGTGGGCAATATATTGAATTGGCAGCAGTCCGTGCAGAAGTGAGGGCAGCCTGTAATGCAGAATTTTTTCATGCAATAATGTAACAGGGCGGCCGGCGCACGACGAACCTTCGCCTTAGCCAAGTTACCGACGCCCCGGTAGACCCTACTTTCTTGCAGGTGCACTTCTGTCAGAATCATCTTGTCGTCTAAACGCTTGAGTTCTGTGAGGAGGGTGTCGATGAGGGCGAGGGCAGGCTTATACTGGGACGCGTCCAACTGGCTATATGTGCATGTTAGTCAAGTATTGCCCCTCACGGTCACTCAGAGGATACTGCATGCTATGTTGGGAGTATATGTATGCGTGCAGCTCACTCACAGTCCAACCAGCCGGATCTCCAAGCTGTGCTTGAGAAAAATACGCTTCTCCCGCTTCGCCCATTCAATGTTCTCCGTCAAGACATCGATCTGGATTTGTTGGCTGTCAGGTATCGTGTTGAAGCAGTCCAGCACTGTCCGGACTACGTGCACACAATGTCAACGATCTATCGCAGCACGCAAGTGCAGTTCGAACATACTGAGCTTCGCGGTCTTTGCCTTCGCCGTTGATGAGACAAACGTACGTGCCAGGTGGATCACGTCGGCAACACCCTTTGCATTGCTATGGAACAGTTTAGGTTGTCAGTCATTGCATGCGATCGATGACCTCACTTCTGGTCCCTGTACACCTCCGCAAGCTTAACGAGAGCGGAATCCTGAAGACGGAGTTGCTTCTCTCTATCCTCCGCCGCGACATACTGGTCGATGGGCGACGCTGCTTCACGTAAGTCTGCAAGAAGTGGCTGCGAACATGGTGGCAAACTGACTAATGATCTCCTTCAATAACGTCTCCGCTTGCTGAGGGTTGGAGGACGCAGCGGACTGCGCCTGTTTGAGGAGTTCCTCCTTCGCGCTGGTGCTCGAGGCCATGGTGAAGGTTTGGGTACAAGGATGAAAAAGAAATTGAGAGGAATGCGAGATGGGTGAGGGCGCGAAGGTGACGCGTCTCGGTGCGTGCGAACTCTGATTGCACTGACGCGTCGACGGTGGCTTGAAGTCCTCTCTTCGCCACCGTATGTTACCTCCTTCCTCCCTCTCTTGTCTATAACCATGCCAGACGACGTTGTGCTTCCCATCCCCAACCTCGGGCTTCCGCAGAATCTATTCGTCCTCTCTCAGCCAAAGCTCCCGCACCTGCACGAGAATGCGCGCAAGGAGCTCCTTGCAGGCATTCAGGCCGATCGTACGTGTGCACCACCTTTAATCTTCTTCAGGAGAATGCTGAACATATCCATCATACTTGCATGCGCAGAAATGGCACCATACTATCGTTTAGTAACAGCTGCGGGCGCGTTACCGCTAAACCAGTCGCTGCTTGACACGATGGAGCAGGCGAACAAGGAGGAGCTCGAGAGGCTCGACAAACGCCTTGAAGAAGCAAAGGAGACTGAAGGAGAGTCGGACATCGCAGATGCTTTACAAGCCCGCGCGAATCATCTCACGCGAATTGGTGACAAGGTGCGCGTGTTCGTCTCGCCTCTTGCGATGCGCACACGCAGACCTATATCCTCAGGAGAGAGCAGCAGAAGCACAAAAGCTGGCATTCGAAAAGACTGCGGGAATGGGCTCGCGAATAGACATCGTCCTGACGCTCGCTCGCATTGGCTTCTTCTTCGGGGACTTCGACGTGATCAAGGACAACCTTGCACAGGCGGAAGAGTGCGTGCAACTGTTGTGCTGCTACTATTCCAGTATTGACCGTACTCACAGGTTGATTGAGAAAGGTGGAGACTGGGATAGGCGGAACCGCTTCAAGGTATATCGCGGGCTACACCTGCTGTCGATCCGGCAGTTCAAGCGCGGCGGAGAACTGTTGCTGGACGCGCTTTCGACGTTCACCGCAACTGAGGTCGTATCCTACAACGACTTTGTAGCATATACGATCATCGCGGGTGTGTTGACACTCAAGCGGGTTGACTTGAAGAAGAAGGTGCGTCAATGAAAACTGAGCTGGACTGTTCTATGACTCACGCATTGCATCAGTTGATCGAGGCACCGGAAGTTATCCAAGTCCTGCCAGAGCTACCGACGCTGTCAGACCTCATGAAGAATCTGTACGGTTCGCATTACGACAAGTTCTTCGTTGCATTAGGTATGGGGCTTCTCATACGGTGTAACGTTGCATTTGCTGACGCGAACACATCTCCCACAGCGACGTTGGAACAATCACACCTCATTCCTTCTCGCTTGCTCTCACCTCACGCACGTTTCTACGTTCGCGAAATGCGAATACTCGCGTACAGCCAGCTTCTCGAGTCGTACCGCAGCTTGACATTGGACAGCTTGGCGCGTTCGTTCGGCGTGAGCGTGGACTTTGTTGACAGGTACGCGCAGTCTTTAGTTCGTGACGTGATGTTTCTCATGCTCAACCCGACATAAATTCAGCGAACTGTCGCGATTTATTGCTTCGGGGCGCCTTCATTGCACGATCGACAAGGTGAACGGCGTTGTCGTAACCAATCGGCCGCCGCTGAAGAATGCGCAATATGAGACTGTTATTCGACAAGGCGATATCCTGCTCAATGCTGTGCAAAGATTGAGTAAGGTGCTCTATTGAGTAGAGGTATTATGATAGTGTATCGTGGTTGTATTTGATCGTTTGAACGATGCGTCTTCATTTGTTATTTGTGATCCGTTGGACAATGAGCTTGGCCCTATTGAACCCTCCCGGACACAAATCACGCCGCAGAGCAGCACAGCACTGCGTCTTATAATTTCATCATTTCATGTCGCCCAAAGAAGAGATGTATAGATGCGATCAATATGTAAGAGTTTCTATTCCCGCCCTCGGAAGCGCCGAGGTGCAGTGCTGCTCGCATCTCTCTTTCTTTCCTTCGCTCACTCTGTTCCTCTTCTCCTTATCCTCCACTGCAATCAAGGCGGACAAACGCGCAAGATCACCAACTTTTTCCCAGGAACACTGAGACACTACGGGCCTGACATTATCTTGAAAAGAAGTCCTCGCGTACCATAATACGCCGTCATGGACGCCATAGTCCCTCCCGAAGTCACCGCAGAGTTGACCCAGATCCTCTCCAACCTGGTCCAGGGAGACAATCAGCTTCGTTCCAAGCAAGTCCTATCACACTTTGAGAAGAAAATTCGCTCACCTGTTTGCAGTGCTGAAAAAGCGGTCAACGATCGTCTCGCGCAGACGCCAGAACTGTACCTTCTCGCGCTCGCGCAGTTCTCGACGAATGCAGATACTATTGTGGTGAGTTTATTTCTTACTCTAAAGTACACCTCTTCTGACGGTCTTAGATGAGGTCTTTCTCTCTCGTGCTCCTTCGTCGCCTACTATTCCGAGCCTCGCCGACGACCCATCTCTCACTCTATGACCATCTGTCATCGCAAAGCCTCGCCACACTCGAACGCATCCTACTTCATTCATTGCTTCATGAGCCTTCGCCCGTTGTTCGCCGCAAAACTGTCGACACCGTGGCTGACCTTGCTAATAATGCTATGCAACGAGGTAGACCATGGCACGCCCTTCAAGCACAGACATTCACCATGGTCGATAACCATGATTCAATAACGCGTGAAGCAGCGTATCGCATCCTTTCTCAGTCCCCCAACCTAATCATCGACTTGCGCTTGGACGTAGTTCTCAGTACGCTCCAGAAGGGCTTGGAAGACGCGGAGAGCATCGAAGTGCGTACATGTTTGTCGTTACGTGCCAGACTAACCATTATTTAGGTTCGCCTAGCTGCATTGCGCGCTGCAGTTCAGTACCTGTCTACCTTAGACGTAGCTCAGCAAGCACAAGCGCTTTCGCTGCTGTACCCGATGCTTAACACCCTCCCCAGTCTTCCACATACACATCTCCCCGCATTCCTCTCCGCGCTTACTCCTCTCACATCGAGCCATCCCACACTATTCGAGCCACATCTCCATGCACTTCTCTCTTTCCTTCCGCCGCTAATCGTCCCTGCCGTAGATGCGGGCCCTACGCCCACCGTCGCGCGCCCGAATCCTGCTGGAGGCAGCAGCTTCGTGTTCCCGCCGCCTTCACAAAACGGCAACGGGAAGAGTAAGGCGACAGTGGAGGAGCACGAGAGCGACCACGAGGAGGAGGAAGTGCGCAAAGCGGCGCTTGAGTTCATGGTGAGTCTGACCGAGGCGCGCCCGTCAATGGTTAAGCGCGTGGATGGGTGGACCGCAGTGATGGTCCGGGGATGCCTGGAGGGCATGGGCGAGATACCTGAGGACGAGACTGATATCTGGTTGGAGGCGGATGTAAGTAATTTCCACGTGCGCTCTATATCTGCAGTCCCTGAATTTGTTGTCCATAGCCCTTGGAGGACCCAACAGACGATACCTATCCTCATGTGTACGAGCAGGCCATTGATCGTATCGCGTGTGCTCTAGGCGGTAAGGCTGCCTTGCCGCCCGCGTTCCAATACATCCCTGCCATGCTAGCGAGCTACGATTGGAGATTACGCCATGCTGGCCTCATGGCTATTGCTGCAATTGCGGAAGGCACCAGTAAAGTAATGCAACATGAGCTGGGGAAGGTCATCGAGTCAGTCCGCTTGACATATATTGCGCAACGGCAACCGTGATGACGTATTTGCAACAGCCTCGTAATTCCAATGTTCAATGATCAGCATCCTCGCGTGCGGTATGCTGCGTGTCAATGCATGTCAGTACCTTTCTCGGGCATGTTAGAACATTTTGACATAGTTCACGATGTATAGCGGACAATTGTGCACCGACCTCGAGGTACGCATGGCTGTAGCGACTGAAGCCGCGACCATTCCATGTCAAGCGCATGAACTAACACATTCTCCGCAGGAAGTTATACAAGAGAAGTTCCATCAGCAAATCTTTGGCGCGCTTATACCAACTCTCGAAGCTCGGGAACCTCGGTGCGTATTGCTCGCCTGGCAAACGGTTCAGAACACATTTGTCATTGTCGTTTTCTCGTTCCTGGATCTATTTCATTCTCCCAATTATCGCGCATTGCAGGGTCGCTTCGCACGCCGCCGCCGCCTTGATCAACTTCTGCGAAGGCGTGGAACGCGAGACTTTACTGCCGTACCTAGATCCGATTGTCGAACGTCTGCTCAAACTGCTCAACCCTGGCTCTGGCGCACAGCCGCAACGATATGTCCAGGAACAAGCAATTACTACGCTGGCCATGGTCGCTGATGCCAGTGAGGCGACGTTCGCGAAGGTAGGCGTGATTGGGTTCACTATCACCCGTCCGATGTGTCATGAGTTTCAGCTCATACGAAGATCATGTTTCCTAGCACTATTCGGCGATAATGCCATTGCTTTTGAATGTGCTTCAAAATGCGAACAGCACCGAGTACGCCAAGTTGAGAGTCAGGGCCATGGAGTGTGCTGGACTAATAGGTAATCGTTAAATCACGTTTCGACCCGAATGATTCCTCATGTCAAGTTTCATCGTTGACATTAGCGATTGCCGTTGGTCGTGACGTTTTCAGGCAAGATGCTAGCCGATTCATCGAGCTGCTGATGCGTATTCAAAGTACGTCGTTTTGGACTGTCTTTGAGCTCATTATACAAAGTCCTGATGTACGAGCATAGACAGTCCGGTCGATCCGAATGATACAATGCTGGGTCATTATCTTATTGCGACGTGGGCGAAGGTCTGTCAAGCAATGGGTCAGGAATTTGAGCCCTATCTACCAGTGGTCATGCCCCCACTGCTCATCGCCGCCAGTGCAAAGGCGGATCTGTCCATATATGGTTCGTGATCGCAGTAGACAATTTTTAGACGGCCACTCAAGTTTAAGTTGCCCAGATGAAGACGAGGAACATGAGGAGCAGGAGGGTTGGGAGACGATCCGCATGGATGGCCAGCAAGTTGGTATCAAGACGTCAGCGCTCGAAGAGAAATGCCAGGCGTTCGAAACGTTGGTAATCTACGTGTCGACGCTTGGCGTTCGCTTTGCACCATACCTATCCCAGACTCTGGAACTGGTTCTCCCGTCTCTGCGGTTTTATTTTCATGAAGGCGTCCGAGAAGCATGCGCCATGTGAGTGTTCATGCTTTCTCGACTGGTACATGACACCAGAACTGACGCTCGTACTGCAGGTTGATACCGATGCTGGTCTCTTGCGGAAAGGCGAGCTCGACATTGACGGACCAGATGGTCTCAGCTACGTTCTCGCAGCTTGTGAACTGCATCGCGAGTGAAACCGACTGCTCCTTCCTCGCGTCGTTATACAAGTGCTTCACCGATGGGATGCGCGCGCTCGGTGGACCATCAATGCTTGCCCCACAGATCCACGACGGCATTATGGAGGCAACAAAGCACCAGCTGCAGGGAATTGCGGACAAACGCAAGGCGCGTGCGGCCCGGCCGGCATCGGACCTCGCGGATGAGAAGGACGACCTGATGTTGCTCGAAGAGATGGAGGACTTCGCGCTGGAAGACATGGCAAAGATGCTGATAGCGTTCGACTCGAACCATCAGCTCCTGATTGCCGTATCGAGCGTGCGGGATTTGGGGCTGCAGCTAGGGCAATGGGAAAGCGAGGACGAGGGTGGTGCGGAGGGATGAGGACCAGATGACGGTCCGTGCAATTAGTATGATGTGGGGAAATATCATTGCTTTCTATCTGCTGTCTGGTCCGTGCTATTCACTAGATATTGTCGCGATAGATACATTTTCGTCAGCGGGAGGATTCAAGTGTTGTTATGTATCTTACCGGATGCTCATTGTAGCTGAATAAGAAAGAACCTGTTGTTGTTGTAAATTGGATAGAGGTGAGTTCCACAGCATGCATAACAATACTTTTCCACTGCAAGAATTGTGAAGCAATAGTGATAATAATATTAAGCTTAGCCCTGTAAACAATTTGTGACGAAATTTTAAATTATTCCACAGTATGTGCAATTAGTGTTGCCACGGTCTGGTCCGGTTTGGTTTGGTGTGGCTATGATGGCTCCCGCCTCACCAATGGCTCGGCTAAGCTCCAATCGTAACAGCTAACCCACAGTTTGGTCTGGCGTCGGCTCAGTCATGGCTGTAGCTGTGGCTACATCCCAAATAGATAACAGTAAGTGTGTCACGGTGCATCATAGATCCTGCCAAAAGGCAAGGAAATGGCTGCAAGGTGCTAGCCATGCTCAGTGACCTGCACAAATACCAAAATAAGGGCCTGCCACAAAGGGTCAGGCTAAAAAGGCATGCAGTGACATGCAGCCTGCAAAAAGGGGCTCAAAGGGCCCTTAGCCTTATATCACACAAAGAGGGGGTAATGGCTTGTAAAGCTGCATGAAATAGATGAATGAAACTGGGGATACGCAGCTTCCTCATGGATACTTATATACATGCAGGTAGGGACCTCAGTCACTATACTAAGGTAAATACGCCTGACACCTACATGTGAACATGATACCATAATCGGCTAGGTTCTGGTAGCTACTATGGCAACTATCTACAAAGGCCATGATTATGCCGAGGTAATCCTATTTCATCCAATGGGATAATTGCCTGAAGGTGATGCCACTATTTGAGTAGCAAAGTGGTGTGGCACAGATTTTCCCCACAAAGTCTGCATGTGACTTTTCTCATGCCACAGATCACGTGCTTCACCAATATCTCATGTCACTCAGCCACAGACATGACACGTAGAGATCAGGTGACAGTCCACATCACATGTTATGGTCCAGACTCGTGAATGATATGGTCGGACCTGTCTATTCCAGGATATAATAGAGGTGTTGGAATATCAAGCCTAGCTATACTTAAGTATGGACTTATCAGCTGGTATTTTCTTTTCTGTACTTATCAGGTGTTAGCATCCGTAAGACTTTTCACCCACTTCGCTCGTTCTGCGGGCTTCAGTCCTTCTATCATCAAGGAGCTGAAGCCTGTGAGTACTGATACTGTCCTGCATGAATGCAGCTTACATACTGATGTATCGTAGTTGACTCTAGGTACATACTACTAATATAGTCCTTTTATCATCAAGGAGCTGAAGCCTTTGACTCTAGCATGTGTCCTCCTGTCCACTCCTCTTCCATCCGTTTACAGGTTATGAGCCCCGCTGGCCATTACAAGATGTCGCTCAGCAATCACGAATCGTCAGTCAGGATCCCCCACCTTGCGGAAGATGGATTGAACTGGGTGCTCTATAAGGAGCAACTCAGGTCCGCCGTGACGGCAAAAAAGCTGGCGCGATATCTCAATGGCCGCGACAAGGAGCCTACTGCACCCACGGCTCCAGGGGTGGATTCCGACACAGACGAGGCATACGCGGACGCGTACAACACATGGGCAGCCGGACATGAGGCGATCAAAACAATTCTGTACCAGACGCTACCGGAAACACTGAAATTCCGGATTATTCCCGAGAAGAAGGCGTCCAGAGCTTGGAAGATAGTCAACACTGAGTACGACAATCGCGGTGACTTTGTCCAGGCTGAACTGCTCCGACGCATGCATGCTCTCCGCTGCACTGAGGAGAAGGACCCTCGACTGACCCTAGATAAGCTCCAGAAGCTTAAGGCCGAGTTCACGACAGCTGGTGGTGTTCTTGACGACAAGCAATATCAAGTGCTCATCATCAGCTGCCTCCTAGAGTCTTATCACCCCGTCGTGCGCACCATCCTCTCAGCTGCTCACCTGGCTTCCATCCAGGCTACTGGCACCACCACGACTCCCACTCCCACCATCACATCTGACGAACTCTTACACCAGATCTACTCAGTCACACGCGACGAGTTTACCCTGGACGAGTCGCAGAGCACTGCAGAAGACTTCGCGCTCATGACGAGATCAGGTGACAAGGACGTGAGGAAGACGTGCAGCAATTGCAATAAGCCCGGCCATCTGAAAGCGGACTGCTGGATGAAAGGTGGTGGAAAAGAGGGCCAAGGGCCACAGAGCAAGAACAGAGGGAGGAAGCACGACAGGGGCTCAGGGGGTGCCAGTGCGAATGCAGTGACAACAGGCAATGATGAGGCGTTCGCATTCGCCATTGCGACTGATTTTTTGAAGGTCGAGGGAGTGAAGCTCCCGAAGCTCACCCGTATCCTCGATTCAGGTGCAAGCTGACACTTCAATCCGGTACGCTCAAATTTCACCACATTCCGGGAGACCAAACACAAGCCGATCACGTCAGCTGACAGCTGTGTCTTTTATGCCACCGGTGAAGGTGACGTCTGCATCGCTACTATGCACAAGGGAAAGACAGTCAAGTTTACCCTATCTATATACTGGGAGCCGTTAGCCCCTAACGGCCATGCTCAGAGGGCCCTCCATAGCACATTCAATTCTTGTGCTATGCTCTTCAAAATACCCTCATCTGAAAGCCAGGCTTCGAATCTATCTATATACCGGGAGCCGTTAGCCCCTAACGGCCATGCTCAGAGGGCCCTCCATAGCACATTCAATTCTTGTGCTATGTTCTTCAAATACCCTCATCTGAAAGCCACGCTTCGAATCTTGGAGGCCCCAAAGGGGCCCCAATGCCCAGTTGAGCGGAACGGGCGCTGTAGGCTTCCCAATCGGGCAGGTTTCCTCACGGTGGTGGTTTGGTCAATATTGGTCTTTTTAAGACCCTCAGTTACTTCTATCACCTCGGTTTTGTTGGGGCCCCCTCGCTCTACATCTCAAGCACCCAGCTAATTAAATTCTCATTATTCCGCAATTTATTTGTGTTTCTACGGGATGCCCTTTCGACTCAGTCGGTAAGCGCCCGTTATGGTCCTGGTGACTTTTTGCTTTTTTCTCTCGTGCATTGCAATCCGCTCGCTTGTCGGTGCTGGGGCCCCCTAGCAATACATCTAAATGACTCAACTGCAAAATTTCGAGTCCGTCGGTACTGTTTTCAAGGCTCCACGACGTGCCCTTTCACCTCATGTGCACAGCGCGTCTGACTCCCCGATCGGTGAGTGTGCTCGCGTCGTCCTCCCCTCATCTTCCTTCGACCTCATTCATGTCTATCTCCTCCCATTTACTCTCATTGTCTTCTGCTTAGGTTAGCATGGCGCCCGCTCTCAATTTTCAGGTGAGTATTAGCCTTCATTCGAACGATATTGACTCTTCAGCGAACAAGCGCGCGCGCGCGCTCTCTACAGCACCCACCTCCTACCAACCACCACCTCCTTCATTCACCACCGGATGCTCCCCGTCCACCACCACCGAATTCTCCCCATTCTCCACCACTGGATTCTCCCCACTCAAATCGATTCTGCAGGCCTCCCACATCTGCCATGCATGCACGCCATCACCCGATCACAACGGCTTGCGAGTGAGTAAACGCATGCAAAACACGGCGATGGGTCGGCGGCGACGCAGGAGGAGGGCAGTCGTTGGGTCTCAGGGAGCACGTATGTGGGCTAGAGCGGACGTAGGGTGGGTTGGGACGCTATACTAGGTGAGCCGCCGTCGCTCTCGCCCTTCTACAGCATACCGGGCGTGCGCTCGCATCCCTCACGCAAACATTCCGTGTCGTTCGTTCGCCGCTACCACATTCCCTGCACCCAACGAGATGACTCCACCACGTACGGCCACGCTATCATCGCTGTCAACGTAGCGTCACGAATGCGCTCACGTCTACAAGGCCGGCCCACCGTCGCCAGCGGCGCCACAGCAGGAGGGCGAGGTGGGGATCTCACGGAGCGCATAGGTGGGCGAGAGTGGACGTAGGCGGGGTCATTTGCACACACCAGGTGAGTCGCCGTCAGTCTGTATCGCGCGCTGCACCGCGGCGCATTCACTCAGTTCAGCTCGCCGCGCATGGCACCCCGCTGTCCGGATTCATCCACGACGAGCGAAAGCGCACATGGACGGCTTGTGCAGCTCACCCCGCCTCACGCTCCGCCGGTTGCCTGTCTGCTCTCACCTTACGGCCACTCACCCCCTCCTGTCTCCTTCACCACCACGCGGTGCAAACGCGCCGCCGATGCTCGAGGACGTGCCGTGCCACATCACGCTCTGCCAGTCGCCCGTCTCTTCTCGCAGGTGAGTCGCAATCGCTCGTTATCGCACGTCGCCCCAGGGCGCATATACTGACCTTCCAGACATCTCCCCCCTTATTCGGCTACCCCTGCGTGCTCTGCTTACGTCGAAGATACATGAACGAGCTCATGCGAGACGTCGTGTGCCCGTCTCTTCTCGCTCTATGCAGCGACCAGCCGGCTGCTCACGCGTGCTTCACCACTACGGCGTCTGAGCCCGCCGCGTTTTTCATTCACCGCCACCGCCTTACCGATGCCCAACGCGTCGAGCCCTTCACGCAGACCCACCCCATCCACCGCCCACTCCCTCGTCCGATCCTATCTATATGCCAATGGCTCCAAGCCCCTTGGAGCCATGGATTTTGTTTTCAATCTATGCAATTTAATTGAGACGTTATAGGCTTGTGGACACCCTCAACAGCAAGCTCGGCATCCCATTGGTCCGGCGCAACTGCGGCGCAACTCTGATGTTGCGTTCCGATCGCTCGGCGCCGTCGGCAATCTCCTTGGTATCCTCGTGAGGTACTGTCACAGACAACGTTGTCCACCTCATCTTACACGATAGCTCTGTCTTGCGCGGCACTTGCGCAGGCTTGTTTCCCTTCTTCCCTACACTGTCGCCCGTTTCTGGACCCGGCGCAACTGTATTAAGCGTTCCCTAGTTCATTTTTTCCAACCTCTCCTTAGGCGCCCGTTCTCCAGCACCTTTTCCAACACTTTGTGGCCAATCTCCGCTTGCGCCAGGTATAAGGCTGTTGCTACGGGTTATACACCGTTCCAACGTTGTTATCTGGGTATCGGCATGGCTAGAGGGTGTACGGTTGGTCGTTGGAGGTCAGACAAGGTTGGGAGCACGACTGGTGAGAGTTCTTTCATCGTTTGTATTGCTTACCAGGCTTGTTTTGTGATGTAGAAGCTGTGATACGGAGTTATACTCTGTATGACGGTACATCTGGCAGGTTTGGTTCATCTTTTATTCATCCAGTGATCAGGATGGCAGCTCTCTATCGGACCTCGGTCTGTTCAGGTAAGTGTGGTATTCCTTC